TTATTCATTCATTTATTTATTGGTATCTGGATTAAGCCCAGGGACACTTTAACCACTGAGCCACATCCCAGTCGTTTTTACTTTTTATTCTGAGACAGGGTTCTCACTATCTTGCTTGGAGTGTAAGTTGTTGAGGCTGGCTTTGAACTTGCGATCCTGCCTCAGCCTCCAGAGCTGCTGGGATTACAGTCATGTACCACCAGGCCCCGATTACTATTATTATTATGTTATTATTATTATACGAGGGATTGAACCCAGGGGCGCTTAACCACCGAGCCACATTCCCAGCCCCTCCTTTTTTAAAGATGTATACAATATCTTTATTTTTATGTGGTGCTGAGGATCAAACCAGTGCTTCACAAGTGTGAGGCAAGCACTCTATTGCTGAGCTACAGCCCAAGCCCCTCCCAGCCCTTTTTAAAGTATCTTATTAGAGACAGGGTCTCGCTGAGTTGCTGAGGCTGGATTTGAACTTGCAATCCTCCTGCCTCAGCCTCCCGAGTTTCTGGGATTACAGGCGTGTGCCACAATGCCTGACTCCCATTCTCTTAAAACCAGTTAAGGCTACTCTGATCATATTTTCACCCTACCACTGTGAGACAATTACACTTGTCAAGATTATCAGTGACCATCATAATTCTAAACTCTCAGTCAATTCTCAGTTCTTAATTATCCAATTAGTACATTTGATCCTTTTCCTTGAAATACTTTCAACCTTGCTTTCCAGGCTCCACATTTTTCTTGGTTCTCCTACTTGATTAAATGAGTGCTATTTTTAAAATTGGAGTTCTTAAACCAATGAAGGGTACATCATATAGGGATATAATATTGATACTTTTCATTTCATTTTTGTTCTAAATTATGATGTGATTTTGTTTTTAGTTTTCTCTATCATATCCTTCTGTACTACCTTTATTTTTACAAATAAACTTGATATTGTATGACTTGACATACTTTCCAGTAACAGATGTAGTTCTAAAACAGCCTGTTGGAAAGCAGCTGTACTGGCAGCTAGTATCTTACAAGCCTTCAGTAACTATATACAAAGATAAGACTTTTAATTAATGTTTTCCTCTACCCAAACTTCTTTGTAGAATTTCTCCTGGACAGGCCTTACTTTCTGATTGAATAGTGTTTTTCTAAAAAATGGCTTCATAACTGACAAAGACAGAGACAACTTTCCAAGGGCTTAATAGATAACTAATGTTCTACTTAAATCTTGTTGCAAATAGACAAAATGTCACTGGAAATTTGGTGTAAAATTTCTGACTACACTCCCAACCGCCAAAAAACCCTAAAGAAATGGTGAAAAGCAGCGAGTAAGAAATAGCACTGAAAGTAAATGTTTGTTCAAAAATATAGGCAAACATTTGTGGTTTAATATTTTGATAATATTGCAGGCATTTTATTTATCATATTGATCAAATGAGTACCCATTTTATGTTGTCTACAGATAGAAGAGAACATAGGCACACACTGATACTGCTCTTCTTTATCTCTGTCCTACTCAACCAAACTCCTTAATAATAGGAAAATACCAAGGGCAAGGAATCTTATTTTCCAGGTCAAAAGCTGTTGCTAAGGTTAGAGGTAGTAGGTAGAGAGGAATTCCTATTGCTCTATAGAGTTGACATCAAGTTGTTTTTGTTTTCCTTAAGCTAGATGTTAAYAGTGGTGGTGATTTCGCAATTATACCTGTCTTCTACAACATTTGGAAAAATCTACCTAATTTTTTCCCATTTTAACCTATCAGTATCTGACACTGGAATCAGTAATGCTAGACTGTTGTGAATAGTCAAAGTAAAAATATTAGGTCAGCACAGTTATTACTCAAGTGGTGAATGAATGTTGTAGGCAGGCAATGTCACAAAGGTGACAAATACCAAGCACCAACCCTATAACAGGTCCTGTTTGGTTGCTGGGGATACCATGCTGAACAAGTCAGACATGGATTTTAATTGTTAATGAGGGGACACAGGTGTGAATAATAGTTTTAGATGGTAAATATAAGGAGAAAAGAAAAAGAATGAGATAAAGAATTACCAGAGTGTGTGAAGCAAATTTGATGGAAACTAGAAACCCATAGCTCAAGAGCCAAGCTTAGGGCTGGTGTTGTGGCTCAGTGGTAGAGCGCTTGCTTGGCATGTGTGAGGCAGTGGGTTCAATTCCCAGCACTGCACATAAATAAATAAAAGTCGATCAACATATAAATCTTCTTTTTTAAAAAAGAGCCAAGCTTAAAAGCAGTCAGATACATTGCACAGAGAATAATAATGCCAGCAGACTTCTCGCTTACAAAAAAAAAAAAAAAAATGTAGGCCAGGGTACTGCCAGATGGAAGGGTAGGAAGGGTTCTCACAGCTTGCAGCGTCCACCCAAAGGCAGGGCAGCAGAGGAGATGGGCGTGGCGGCCGCCAGAACACAACCCCCTCTATAGCGCTTGGCTCCCCTCCACCAGCTGCCATGAGCCTCTACCCCAGGAAAAGAAGGAATGGCGATGAAGCAGATAACCACCTCCCCTCTGCCCCCACAGACCAAAAGGAGTAGTAGAAACCCTGTCTTTCAGGATTCCTAGGACACACAGAGTCCCAGCAGTGACAGTAGCGGGAGCAGCAGCAGCAGCACCAACATTCCTCACAGGGCCAAGGGGCCAGAGAGCAGCTTAAACCAGGTCATGCCCGGATGCAGCCCTAAAACCCCTCAGCCCATGGCCAGCAGTCTGCGCTGTGGCAAGGTCCTTATTTCCACATSAGCCAGACCCTGAATGAAGCCCACTTTCACAGCCTGCAGCACCCAGGACGCCCTCCAACCTGATGCGTGGACAGTTTCTTGGCTTCTATGAAGGGACAGCCTTGTGCAGATTTGATATTTCAACTTATGATTTGTTTTAAAAAATTGCACACAAAAAATGCCTGTTGGCTTTTTAGTCTATATTTGAGATAACATACACTTGTGGTTTTACTGCACTACTGCAGTTTCAAAGGAGCTTTGAAGCACTTTATAGGATTTTTTTTGAAGGAGSGTATCAAATCAATATCCAGGAAGTGGTGTGAGGAAATCTCATCTGTGTTGCAACCATAGTGTGTCCAATTCATATCACTCAATTAGAAGTTCTACTTTATGTAAAGGGCTTCTTAAAAATGCAGGATCTTCAATTTTTTATTTCAATTAACTAGTAAAGAGTATCTAGTTTCCATGAAAAAAAAATATATGCAGGCCAAAAAATAATGAATGGACATTATCCATTGCTAAGAGAAAAAAATACTGTCCAACTAAATTTCTATAGACTCAAAAGAAGACCTAAATGAACACATACAATGTTCACGAACTGGAAAACTCAATACTTTTTACAATTCCATTTCCTTCAAACCGATCTAAATATTCAATGCAATTCCAATAAAAATCCCACAGGTTTCTGGTTTGTGAAAATYAGCAAGCTGGTCCTAAAATTGGAAATTCAAAATTGCAAAGGACATAGAATAGCCAAATATTTTTGAGAACAAATACTTAGACACCTTAATTTCCAGATTTACTACAAAGCTATAGTAGTCAAGATAATGATTTTAGATATATAATTCAATGGAACATAAAGACTCCAGATAGTCACATATATATAATCAATTTCCACAAAAATGATAATAGGGAAAGGACAGTTTTTTTTCAACAAATGGTGCTATCTGAACTTTTATGTAAGAGGGAAATAAAATTATCCTTATATTAATACCATACAAAATACTCCCCCCCCCMAAAAAAAATTACTTGAAATGAAAAATAAACCTAAACATGAAATGAGTTTGAGGTGGAAACCAGACATGTAAAGACAGGGAATTTAACAGTCAGAGTTGCATAAGAACCACAACAGGAAATGCTTGCTCTTCCAGTCAAGCTGACTGTGCAATCTTATTTGTGAAATATATAGTGAAATCCAGACTCCCTATCTTCTTGACAGATGAGGTGTTTATATAGTAAAGTAAGCTGGACAAGAAATAAGTCAATTTTTGAGTAAATATGAGAAAGTTCACAAAGTGTTATGTATTGATTGTGTTATTTCCTGATTTTATTGTTTTGACACCTTTAAAAGCTTGCTGATCAGAGAGAGACCAGGCCCAAAGGGTCAAGCTCTCCTCTAGGCCAGGAGCACATCTTTGATATGCAAACCAAGCAATCTGATGGTCTATAGCCTCAACCATCTTTATTTTAGTTTTTTGGTGGTGCTGCTGGGGATTGAACCCAGGGCCTTGTGCATGTGAGGCAAGTACACTACCAACTTAGATATATCCCCAGCCCAGCCTCAACCATCTTATGGAACTCCCACACACAAGCCAGTATTTTCCCTGTTTAATATGATCCCTGATCAAGGTACCAGAAAATKAGTATATTCCTATAGCCTGAACTCTAAATTCTACATAGAAGGGAAATATAGTTCATACATTGCCTCATCTTTAATATGCATTCTGAGAAAGATAGCTGCAATATGCAATAACTCCAAGGGAATTATGGAATTAGCCAGTTCTAAACTGTTATTCACCAAGTTCAGATTAACCAATTATTTCTTTCTTGGCTTCTCTTCCTTGCTATGTTTCTCCCCAGAAAGGTAATTAAGCTAGGCTTTCCCTTGGCTCCTGTCTTCTGCCTCCTGACTGGCATGTGCCAACACCCTCACTGGGACCTATGAGCATAAAAAGCTTCTTCCTTCTAAATCTCATACTCATTTCCTCCTTTGGCCACACTGAATTATTTATATGTCATATCCGACATTTACATTCTTAAAATAGTATGTAAAATAAATGTTAACTAAGAAATAAAGCATATGCTCATTGTGAAACCAGTGGTCTCAAGCTGAATAAATCTTTCTGGCTAGTCAGTGTGTCATTTTTTATGTCCTGATTTTTGTTTCTTTTTCTACATTAAACACTGTCAAATAAGCCGGTTCTGCAATAAATTCATGAGTGTGTCAATTTAAATAAAAATGCAATTCAGGGTTGTATGTAGGATTTACATTTATTAACAGTGAAAAAGCATTTACCCAAAGTGAAGGTTACAAAATACAAAGAGTATCTCCACAGACTGGCTAGCTCATCATTTTAGGCATTATTTTCAACCTGCACAGGGTTCTCTCACACTCATTTGACATTTCCCCCCTTTATCTCCAACCAAAGTTTTAATTTAAATTTTCAGACAAAGAGGAATATTAAATGCCTAAACTGTTACCAATAGTATGCTAGGGAAAACAATAAACAACTTATCTGCTCTCAAGCCTGGGTATTTAAAAACTAAAATACCTACTAAAATAGGAAAAAAAAAAAAAAACGATTAGGAGYTATAACAAAAGATAGTTTGATAAGGTTCACAGGTACCACGGTGATAGCAGAAAGTTCTGCTCTCTCTGTCCTTAATATGCATGCAGACATAGAAAGACAGCGGCAATATGTAAGGCTTGGCTTGAGAACCAAAATAAAGTTTTTCTCCTTTCCTGATTAGAGTCAAGAAAATACAGAATCTGAATATACATATAAAGTAATTTATTGTTCCAATTGCCCTTAAGTCAGTACAACTGGATAAGAATCCTGACTCTGAACTGATAGTTTTCCATATAGGTCTTATAAAATTGGAGATATGTCTTACACAATTCAAATTAAACATAAACAGTACATTTCCTTACAGGGAAATTCTCAATTAGTATTCCTTTGTTAGATGTTACAGATTAATTTGATACTAAGATATCAAGCAAGTAAGAACTTTAAAGGAATACCAAGCTAATTCTTTTATTATGGAGTATTTTAGACCACTGGTAATGATTTAAAGACTACTTGGAACAAAGAATTAATTCCTCATATTCTTCATATTTTACTCAAGGAAGAATCTATAAGATCAACTGGATCTTTTGACATTTCTGTCTATGGCAAGTATGGGATAAAACAATAAATCACCATTTAAAACTTGGCTTACTTAGTGATAAAGAAGTCACATAGATTTTCTTAATACTTCACCTGTGAACCTGTTTCTTACTACACACAGAATCAACCACTAGATTTTTGTCTTAAATTATTATCTCAAAAGACAAGAATCTTAATGTTGTATTACATAAATTTAGTTTTATTTATCCCTACTTGAAAATATTTGGTTTTTCATTTAAAATTAACCAGAAGATTACTGACTGTGCAGAAATACTAACTTTAAATTCCAGATTGAGGCAATATAGATAGGAGTTGCAATTCTGGAAAATATTCATCTAATAGATAAGTATTTAAGTTCTAGGTAGTAAGCACATATATTCTAAACTTCTGCAACTTGAATAGATTACTAACATATATTCTATGATAATTTCACAGATATCCTGGATACATTTATAATCTGTCCTATTCTTCCTTCCTTTTCTTTGTGTGTGTGAGTGTGTTGCTGGGGATCAAACCTAGGATCTGTGAATGATAGGGAACCATATTATGACTGACCTGCTGCCCTAGTCCTGCTTTGTTTATATAGAGGAATGGGACCTGCAGGTATTTAAAGAATATTAACTATATCCAATAGCAGAAACACTGGCATATGTGGAAGACTGGCCCAATAGCTGGGCTTTATAAATAATATATTTCTCTAATTCTGAGCCATTGCTCTCTCTCAATTGCCTACTACTACCTAGAACAGCAATTTGCTGTAGAGAATTCAACATAATTTCCAAAAAATATTTTACAGATAAGTTCAAACTTTATTTAAAACTACATTTTAAATTTAACGTTACCAAACATCACAATGAGAAGAAAATCAAGACCATAAAAGAGAAAAAACAAAAAACAAAGAACAGCCACAGTATATACCAAGGCTTAAATCTGTCCAAAATTCAGTTTCTGATGTTTTAAACTGCCATGGGCAGAAATTAGCACACCTACCAAAAATGCAGTGTCAAACTAATTTACATTTTATACAGATCATAACAATGTTTATTTAGGGTCATTTTCATATATGCGATGACTTTATAAACAGAGTTAGATGAGTCTCTGAAGACATCTCATACACTCTGGGCTCCCACTATTTCTGAAAAACAGAACAATAATTAATGCCTTATAAATTATTTAGTGAATTAACACATTAGTTACTAAAATTTATTTTTAATAGTTTTCTTCCATTACAGCTTTTAGAATAAAATATTATAAAGGGAATCCTAATTTAGCTCCAGTTCCCTGATAACACACACAGTAAAAAAGAATAGGCGAGGATTTCTATTTTATGATGGCATACTGAGCAGATAAACTAACAGAAGAAAAGAAAATAACTATATAAAAAGAATTAAATTTAGGCCAACAACAACAACAACAAAGCTGATAGTAAGAAATCAGAAGCTGGGTACAGTGGTGCTTGCTTGTAATCTCAGTGGTTTGGGAGGCTGAGGCAGGAGGATCAAGAGTTCTAATCCAGCCTCAGCAAAAGTGAGATGCTAAGTTAAGTAACTCAGTGAAACCCTGTCTCTAAATAAAATACAAAACAGGATGTGGCTCAATGGTCAAGTGCTCCTGATTTCAATTCCTGGCACACATCCCCCTCACACCTCCCCCGCCAAAAAGAAATCAGAGACTAGGACACACCAACAAATTATCAGAATGCCCAAAGCAGATGGGCATACTGTCCAATTGTTCCCGTATTGTGCAGCTGGGATAGTTGCCATGTAACACCAGGCAGAGAAAACTCAGCCAAAAACTAGGACGTTAACTGAAGGTTTCATATCTGAATGGTCTCCCTTCTCTTCCCCATTTGCAGATTTTTTTWWAAAAAAAGTCATGTGATTTGAACCAATTGATGAATTGATGGAGAATAACAAAAGAGTAAATCTGGGACCATCACTTGCCTCTACAATGAGTTATATAAAATCAACTTCAGTTAAAGTATATAAAATTTATTACAGTTACAAAAACAAAATGTGTATTTATTTTAATAACCTTAATAATGTAAGAATACTTAATCAAAAAGGTAAAGAAAAAAGAATGAAAATCACCCAAGTTGATAAAACAAGGAAAGTTGTTGGCTTATTTATTTTGGTACTAACCCCATAAGCACTTTAAACTAAGATACATTCCCAGTCCTTTCTTTTTCTTTTTTTTTTTTTAATTTCGAGATAGGGTCTTATTAGATTGCTTAGGCTAGCCTTGAACCTGCAATTTTTCTGCCTCAGCCACTAAAGTTTCTGGGATTACAAGTGTTGTGTCTCCATGTCTGGCAAATATACACACACACACACACACACACACACACACACACACATACATATATATATTTAAAATAACAAAGATGAAAAACAGAAGAAAAAAAAACTACAAACACCGAGGGGAGGGAAAATGTCTAAATACACATTTATTATAGGGAAGAAAACCAATAATGAAAAGAGGTGGGTGTTTGCTATTTATCATTAACTTTTTACACCTTTCTTTGAACCATGTGCTTGCATAAATTTGCTAAAACTGAAAATTTGAAAGATGAAAAAATGATCTGATAATTAAAGAAGAGTACTGTTTTATAAATTAAGTAGCTAAACTAAAGTTTTTACAGAATACCTCCTCTTTAACATTAGACTTAAATCTCCCAGAAGCTAGTACCACATTAAAAAATAAAAAATCCAAATGGTAGTATCATGATCAAAAAATTTTCAATATAAAATTAAAACTGATGAGTGGATATATAGCTCAGTTGGTTTCCTTACATGCACAAAGCCCTGGGGTTTGATCTCTCGCACCAAACAAATAAATAAATAAAATTGATGAATCTTACCAGGTTCTTTTAGTGTCTGAGAATTTCCAACTAATTCTTCAGTTTGCATTTCACATATTTCACCAGATAAATGATTCTTCTGTTCTTCTTCTACCATTTTCTTCCTTAGATCTGCCTTTAGAATGAAGATTTAAAATACAATTTTTTCATCTCAACAATATCTGTATCATATAAAGACAAATTTGATTAAAGACAAGAAAATACCTCTGAATATATTGTCAGTTTAAGCGGTAAATCCTCAACTTTCACAAAATCTTCTTCATCAGACTTTTGACTTATGTTACCAGATTCTGCTTCCTGTAAGATAAATTATATTTATCTTGAAAACGAAAGCATTTTATCACTTAATCTACATCTGTCATCCATCCTAAGAAATAAATGCATTCTTATATGGAAATACATATCAGGAATTCTATGATTTTCTCCTGTATCCATACTTGTATGAATATATCAGAAACCTAGAGTTCATCAGAAGGTTTACACATCTGTAGCTGTGAGCATACTGTTGAGATATGTTTGTTCAAGAGCTGATTTACATAGACTGAAGAAAGATGTATTAGTAATTATAGAGCAGGCTAAACTAATTAGAAAAATGACTTGTTTCTTAATATGTCTACAGAATGCATCAGTAGTATATCAAGCAGAATATGAGTAAATACTTATAAAGTTTTCAATACATTGACTCCATCAAGGTTTGATGAAAGTATGAATTTAATAATTTACCTTTGTGATCATCTCAAACTGYTTTTGCCTTTCCCTTCTAATTTTAATAGCATAATTTTCTATGAACTAGTAACTAAATAGAAACCATATGCTTTTCCTTTTCCTGCAAGTCTACCCACCGACTCTTTTTCAGATTCATTTTGTACTTATATGATAGCAGAGCAACCTAATATACCTTCCTTCTTTTTTTTCTTTTGGTACCAGAGATTGAACCCAGGGGTACAAATAACTACATTTCTAACCCTTGYTATCTGGCCTTGAACTTGTGATCCTCCCACCTCAGCCTCCTAAGTCACTGGGATTACAGGCATGCTTCACCACTCCTGACCCTTTACAATTTATTTGATATTCATTAGATTATTCTTTATAGACCATGAATTTAACCATTTACTTTCTTGCACAAAAATTTTCATAAGTCTCTAAAATCTCACTTCAAATTAATTTCAACTAGGTAATTCATCTAACTTTCAGTTTTTTGTACAGGGGATTGAACCCAGGGGTGCTTAACCACTGAGTCACATCCCCAATCCTTTTTTAAATTTTATTTAGAGACAGGGTCTCACTGAGTTGCTAAGTGCTAAATTGTTGAGGCTGGCTTTGAACTTGTGATCCTCCTGCCTCAGCCTCCTGAGCTGCTGGGATTACCGGCGTGTACCACCATGTTTTATATGCATACATTTACTGTTGGTGATGTAAACAAAACAGTTTAAGAGGGTTACTTTCTTCTAATGTTTTTAAAACATTATAAGCACCTTTTCTCAGGAATTTATCTTTAAAAAGTAAATCAATTTTAATTTTTAAAAAATGAAGTACCTTTCTTATATCTAGAAGTACTTATTGAGGTTCAAATACTGTTATAAATCTTTTCAATTTTGCTAAGGAGAGAGTAAAGTATATAAAACATATACACCCAAGATCCAAAACATAACTTGCTACTGTAAACTTAATTGAAACAACTGTCTAGAGTAAAATTAAACTTACTACTTACTATCATAAGTACAGATTTCCTAGTATATTTTTACGCCATTCACTGTATAGAAAAAGGACTCTATTTCTGTGAAATTGTTTTATTTCACATACCAAATATAAACTTTTAGGTTTAGCAAAGACTTATAGAATTTCTTAAGTAGCTGAGAAGTTAAAAATGAGTAGTGTATTGCTRGGCATGGTGGTGCATGCCRGTAATCTCGATTCGGGAGGCTGAGGCAGGAGATCCACAAGTTCCAAGCCAGACCCTGTCTAAAAAATAAAAAAATTTAAAAAAAAAAGAGAGAGAAAGAGCTGGAATATAGCTCACTGGTAAAGTGCCTCTGGTTTTGATCTCCAGTATCCCACCCCCAAAAAAGGATAGTATGAGAGATTAATGATTAATGATGACTCATGTATCATTATTACTTCAGATCTGAACTGAAAATGAACTCTTCCAAAGTTGCCACCTATAATCAAAACTATAAAAAGAACAGCCTTAAGGTTTGGGGATGGTCATCTTAATTAATTATCACTCTTTGGCTAAAGTTCAAAATAAGTGTGAATATGAAATAAAAATGCTCTCAAGAGACCTAATCCTAAACCTGAAGCGGAGCTTGGTTTATACACTTAAAATGTTAACCTGAATATAAAAAAAAATGCACAAAAATGAAAATAAAAAATAACTGGAAATGTAAATGATACATACATAGTCATTCACTAACACTGGAGATTCCGTATCAGGACTTCCAGCGAGAGAGCTTTCAGGAGTTTCCTGAGCAGATTTAACTTCTTTGACTCTAGGCACTAAGGTTTCAATTTCAGTTAAAGGTAATGGCAAAGGGTTAGGTTGTTTAGATGAATCAATAGTGGTAAGCGAGTCCTTATGGGCAGCACTATTTAAAAGTTGTTCATTTTCCAAGATATTGAGGTAACAAGGTTTCACAGGAGAGCTATCTTGGTCATCTGCATCAAAACAAAGTCTTAATTTTACATCAGTGCAATACCAACAGCTGTTAAATTTACAATAGTAAATAAATACAATAAATAAAATACCAAATAAATACAATAGGCATGAAAGAGAGTAATCAAAAGGCACTTATAATCCCCCAAAAAGGGCAATTAAAATCTCTTCTTAGCTGTGATTTACAAATTTAGTCCATAAGATCTAATCTGGAAACATTAAATAAATTAGATTCCTGGTCACCTGATTTCTAGTGAATTCSAATTTTCCAGAGTTAAGGCTCATTTGTATGGTTTTATAAAAGGTGTYCTGCAAAAAACTCATGTGTTGGGCAACAGGAATATTCAACAGTGAAACAATTAGATTATGTGAGCTGTAATCCCACCAGTAGATTAATCTATTTGATGGGTTAATAATTTAAATAGACTACTGGGTGGTAATTGTAGGCATGTGGGGCATGGCTGGAGGAAGTAGGTCACTTGGGGTATGGCATTAGACTGTGTATCTTTTTTTTAAAATATTTTTTTAGTTGTCAATGGGCTTTATTTATTTATATGTGGTGCTGAGAATCCAATCCAGTGCCTCACACATGCTAGGCAAGTGCTCTACCACTGAGCCATAATCCCAGTCCTAGACTTAGTATATCTTGTCTCTGAATCCTTGATCTCTCCCTGCTTCCCAGGTGCCATGAGCCAAGCACAATCCACCACACCCTTCTGCCATGTTGTGTGCCTTATTGTGGACCCTGAGCAATACAGTTTGCCAACTATGGACTAAACCTCTGACACCATGAGCCCAAAATAAACTTTTACTTCTCTAAGTTGTTCTTGTCAGATATTTTGACCACAGTAACAAAAAGCTAACATTCCAAAGTATGGGTTTAAAAAAAAGGTCTCATTTTATCTAAAGATGTTCCCGGCAGAATTTTTTGTTGTGGGTAAATATCTGTCAAATATTTGTAACTGCTTTTGCAGAAACAAAGCTCTCTTATGTTTTTCTACAAAAGATTTATTGGGGAAAAAAAAGATATACATCAAGTCCCAAGTGCCTACATTAGCTAAAAATTTATATTTGTTTTAGTTTTAAACCCATAAAAAGCATTTTAGGTGAACTTTAAATTGAACAATTATTTAGATTTCTTACCTTTACTAGTGGGTTCTTGTTCTGATGAAACATTTGTGCTTTCAGCTGTTTCTTCAAGGTCATGTTGTTGAACCTAGACAGAAAAAGATATTTTAATAACAGGGCTTTAAAATATGTGGTCACTATAAAGGAGATAGTTACTACTATGTGTGTGGTTTTTGTCAAACAAGGAAATTAAAAAGAGTTCCTAAAAATGTTTTGAGTAAGCTTTGGATGCAATGACAAGATGGCTAAGTAAAAAAGTTTACTTTCCTTAGACAAAACTCAAAAAAAGTTGGGTGCTGTGGCGTACACGTATAATCCCAACAACCCATGAGGCTGAGACRAAGTTCCAGGTCAGCCTCAGTAATTAAGCAAGACTCTATCTGAAAATAATGWAGGGATGCAGCTCAGTGATAAATATTAGTGCCCTGGGTGGTTCAATCCTTAGAATACCCCAAAAAATAAACAAACAAACAATCAGACAAGCAGGCAGATAGATAAATAAATAAATAAATCCCTCAAACAACTACTCAGAAGCCAGGCGCAGTGGAGCACGCCTGTAATCCAAGCAGCTCAGGAGGCTRAGGCAGGAGGATCACGAGTTCAAAGCCAGTTCCAGCAACTTGGCAAARCACTTAGCAACTCAGCAAACTCTGTCTCTAATAAAATATACAAAAGAGGCTAGGTATGTGACTCAGTGGTTAAGCTCCCTGGGTTCAACCAGCACTATATCACTCCCCACCTAAAAAATAAAAACACCAATTCAGAAAACTGAAATAAAAATAGATGCCATTACTTTTTTTTTCCTTAGACTTATCTTTAATAAAACTAAAAGACACCTATATACATAGACATTAAGTGAATGGGAGAGGAGCTGACGAGGAGAAGAGGAAGATGAACAAAGCCAGTTGCTTTCAGCCAGAGAAGGGAACAAAAACTGAGGTTCAATTACAATTGGAAGTTATCAGATTCTAGGGTGGAAGGTATATGATGGTAGAGCTGGTGATGAAAAAGAAGTGGTGGTGGTAATTTTAAAACTGTGTAAGAAAAATATGGAATTCTAGGTTCCCATCCCAACCTCAACAGAAAATAAAAGATTTTATTTTACAGAAATTGAACTAGTGAGCCTGCACACCTTGGGGGAAAAGGTGGGGTAAAGAAGGCACAAATTAGGACACAGTAAAATGTCACACTGAAAACCAAAGGATTTAATGCAAGTSTGTTAACAGTGGACACTCGGCCTCGTTCCCACATTTAGCTTCAGAATACCAGTAGTCAAAATTATATACCCTTCTTTTTAAGAAACCACACTACTCTGAAGAAAAGACCAAGAGATACTGACATTTCAGAGTTAATATTAGAAAGCTGGCTGTCTACTGAAATGCCCCACAGAGGAACCRAAAGGAACCAAACCAGTTTCCTGCTATACATCCTTTAATATAAATACCTRAAGTTTAGGAGATTATTTGAAGCAAGCCTCCAGGTGGGATAGAAAAAAAATAATGCTTCCATGAAATAACACCACTACAAAAAAAAACAGCAATTAAAAAAAAAAGTGTCTAGAAATACAAAAGATGAGTGGGAAAGTAAAATTATCTTTATACCAGTGTTAAGGCCAAGGAAATCTTCCAGAAAGTACAACAAAAAAATAAAGCAATGGAATAAAAGGGAAAAAGGAGAAAACTAGTTGTTGATCAACCCACTAGGGCTAACAATATCTGATAATATTAATTCCAGAGGGAGAGAAAAGGAAAAATGGTGTAGAATTAAAAAAAAAAAAAGAAAAGATAACGATGTCGACTACCAAATTGAACAATAGGATATAAATTCAAAAGACCTACAAGTATGCTTGTGACATAAATAAAAGGAGACTTGCAACAAGGTATACTATTACAGTATTTCAGAACTTCAGGAAAAAAGATCTTTTAGAATAGGCAGGGGGAAAAAAGAGATAAAGGATGAGAACTAAGAAAGCCATGGTTTATCTCTACAGCAACACAGGAAACTAGACAAGGAAGCAGCACCTTCAAAGATTTTAAGGAAAATATTTTCAACACCAAATAATTAAGACTTGCATAGATACATAATGTATAAAAATATCATGTACTTTGTCAGGCATGGTAGTAAGCCCCTGTAATTCTAGCTCCTGGGAAGGCGGTCAGTGGTAGAGTGCCCCTGAGTTCAATTCCCATAACACACACACACTCACACACACACACACACACACACACACACACACACACAACAAACAAACAACAACAAAAAAAACCAAAAAGACACTTTTTTTTCAAAGTTACTAAAAAATATGCTACACCAGGGCTGGGGTTGTAGAGTACTTGCCTAGTGTGTGTGAGGCACTGGGTTCAATCCTCAGCACCACATAAAAATAAATAAATAAATAGGGTGGGGTTGTGGCTTAGCAGTAGAGTGCTCACCTAGCATGTGCGAGACTTTGGGTTCGATCCCCAGCACTACATAAAAATAAGTAAATAATACCGTGTAATAAATATCGTGTCTAACTACAACTAAAAAATATTTTAAATAAAGATATTGTGTCCATTACAACTAAAAAAAAAAAAAATGAAGATATGGTACCCCCAAATAAGGTGGTTAGCCAAAAGAAAGAAACAAAGAAAGACTGGATTCTAGAAACAGAGATCTGAGAAAGAAGATAAATAAATAAATGTAATTTCTATATTGGTAGCTATTTTGTAGATCTAAAGAAGAGCCAAATTTAGAATGTAGCAAAAGTCGAAATGCTCCAGAAGAAAAAAGGAAGCCAATAAAAAGGACAAATTTAGTTTATACAGAAAATTTTTTATACTGGGGAGTACAGCAGAAAACTTTAAATGTTACAAGAAAATTAATAAAAAAAAAGTGAGTAACTTATTAAATTCAGGAGAAAGATATACAAGGCTAAGAAATAAGCAATATTTACTTGCTCAATAGTAAAATTAACAGTTTAATCAAGTCTAAATAGATGGTTAAATATAGACAGACACATATATTCAGAAATATTGAGATTAAAGAGCAAAAGAAATACATGAAAACTTTTTCATGTATAACTAGGAGAAAAATATAAAGATCTTCTAAAGCATTTCATTGTTTTTTAAGATGTTACCAAAAAATTAAGTATTAAAATGTTTTAAATAGTTTGGGCTGGGGAGATAGCTCAGTTGGTAGAATGTTTGCCTTGCATGCACACACAAGGCCTGGGTTTGATCCCCAGTACCACCCCCCCCCCCAAAAAAAAACAAGGTTAAACATTACTAAATATAAAAACAAGTGTTTCAGATTCTAATAAGTATACTAAAGATGCTTATATCCATGAAAATGGGATTGAGAAAAGCTAAATATTTTGACATTTTTCAGAAGGCGCTTGTTTTCAATAACTGAAATAAAAGTTTGCCCATCTACACTGAAATACCTGACTGTCCTGTTCAATTTCTTCATTAGTTTCAGTGTTAGCCTGAAGTGAAGTCTGGACATCTACAGGGCTCTCTTCAAATTCTTCTATTTCTTCATCCTCATTCTCATCTTCTCCACTTCCATAATTAGTTAAAGCTTGAGTTTCCGCTTTAGATAAATCTAAGTTGATTAATACACAATTTTTAAKAAATTTCATCATTTAATCTTTTTTGGTTTGGGGGGAGATTTTTTAGGAAACTGATTGCAAACTCCTGGACTCAAATGTACAATGACTTCAGCCTCTGAGTAGCCAGGACTGCAGGCACCTGCCACCAGGCTCACATCATTGAATCTTATGGTCCAGGTGCTTAAAATAGAGTATATAAAATCTTCAAACCTTAAATACTAGAAATTGTGGCATAAAAAGGCCAGGTAATTTAATCAAGACCACATAGGTAATTTAGTCAAGACCAAATTAGAATTCAAATTCAAGAGTTTGACACTTACTACTATTCTCATTATATTTCTCTAAACTGTTTAAATAAGTGACCAATAAAGAACCACAGTTCAGATTTTTAAACTTACTAATAGATACTGGACATCCTTCACTTTCTTCATCTTCCTCTTGATCAGAAACATCAGATCTTACATTTTTGGGACCTTCGGCACCATATACCTCAGGTGTCTGAATCTGCTTAACTGTTTCAGTCTCATCCTTGTCCTAGCAACAAGTAATTTAAATAATTAATTCCTTTAGATACTGTAAAAGGTATGTAGTTAAGAAATACAAAGATCATTTCTGACAATCTAATTTGATTTTCAAAAGAAAAAAAGGTTTTTCAGAAGAAACAGCATTTGATGATATACTCTGCTCTCAAATATTAAGGTAGATGCTGTTAAAATTRTTTCATATTTTGTTCCAAAAGCATTATTTATAGGCACAAATTAATTAGCACATACTTTGTCTTCATCATCAATCTCTCCAGCAGGTGAGCCATAATCTCCTCCTTCAAGAATCCTTTTGGCCTATTAGCAAATCCATTAAGCAAAACACGTTGGTAATTCAGTAAACAAATATTGCATTTTTCATCATGTATAAAGAAAAGAATACTTTCTTAGAAATGTAAAGTCAGTTCTTTTGTTTGTCTTTTAAATTAACAAAACTAAAAGTAGCAGTACTTAACTCACTACTCCTTGGACATATAAAAAGGCATCTCAAATTTATTAAGTAAAAAATAAAAACCATCATTTTCTTCCTCCAAAYCCCATCCTTCCTCAATCTTCCCAACCTCTAAATGGCACTTCATTCATCCTGATACATAAACTAGAAAACTGGGAACCAGCCTTTGCTTACGTTCATTATTCATCTCTAAACCAATGAACACCTCACTGACTTAATGATTATCATACATTTGTTGTTGCACACCCATCTAAGACATTAGCTTATAATTTCTTACCTGGACAATTTGAACAGTTTTATAAGTGGTCCCCCCACTTCTCTCTCTACTCTCCTCCAGTACATGTTTAATGTGGTATTCAGAAATTCTTTAAAATTGAATGTGAAATTATGTCACTGCTCTTTTCAAACTTCCCCATGAGTTTCCATCATATAAAGTAAAATATAAATAAATAAAGTAAGTTTTTATGTGGCTTAAAATGCTCAACAACTTGACCTTAAAAGAGAATGAAATGAAGGGCCCCTATAAAATTGAGAACAACATCTCCATGCTGACAGTAAGGTTGACAACTTCCATGCCTGACAGGTTCCAAGAGCACTGAAAATGACTTTTGCCCCCTGCCCCTGCCTGTCAAAAACAGAACAACTAAATCTGCATATATTTGTCTCACTTTGTTGCTTTTTCTCTTTAAAAAAGCTGTCCTCACACCCAGAATTTTTGAAAATGAAGTTGCTTCTATCTTTCTTCAAAGCTATAAAACCTATTTTTCTACCAAATTGCCTCTGAATGTTTCTGGAGCAGTAAAAAGCCTAGCCTCTTCCCTGCTACCAATATTTCTGCAGCCTAGTCCATCTCTATAAGAAGATACATCACCTATATTCTTACCACTTCCCTCAATATGCTTCTTTCCTCCATTACCTTTTCTGTTCTCCAAATGATCAAGCCTTCCTTAGAGTTGTTACACTTAAGTTATCTTTGCATGGAAAGCTATTTCCTTTCATTTTCATTATGAACTCCTTATTTTTCATGGTTTAGCTTGTATTTCACTCAGTCAAAGGTGAAGACTACCTAGCTAAAGCAAACTGAAAGGAGACTTCCTTCTAATAATTTAATATGGTATTACACTGTTTTATTTTCCTTAAACTCTAAAGCAATGGCTAAAATGAATTTATGTCTGGAATATAAATATTATAAAAATATGAAGTACATGGGCTGGGGCTGTAGCTTAGCAGCAGAGTGCTTGCCTAGCATGTGTGAGGCACTGGGTTCAATCCTCAGCACCACATAAAAATAAACAAATAAAATAAAGGCATTCTGTCCATCCACAACTACTAAAAAAATTTTTTTTTAAAAAAAGTATGAAGTACATAGTTTGACTTTGTCTACTTTAGATTCTAAGAAAGAGAGGTTATTTCTTTTTATCTGGGTCTTGGCCTGCTTCCATTCTCATGATCAGAGGGCCAAGAAAAGGGTTAAGATCCAGGGGGAAAGCTTCCTGGTAAGCCTAAGATACAGGCGGAACCAATTCATCCAAATTCACATGGTCAAAATTAGTTTGACAAGGGAAAGAAACTACAGGAGGATATGAAACTAAAGCCCTAACCAACAAACAAGGCTGTCTGTTGTTGGAATGACCTCTGGTTGATATATAGTCTTGGAGACTCTTTGGGGACTGGTAACAGCCAGGGCAGGTAGTTGACCAAAAAACTAGATACCCAGTCCTCCTCTCCTCTTTGGAGACCTAAATAAGTCACAATGAAGTTAAATAGATGTGTGACAATGTGCATTTAGCATCAATTCCTATCTGTATTCTGCATTCGTGATTTCTTTTTTTTTTTGCAGTGCTTGCTTGGGATCCAACCCAGGGCTTCACACTTACTAGGCAAGTACTGTACCACTAAGTTACACTCTCCAACCCCTGCATTTCTAATATTTACTGTTTTTACTTCTGAGATTTAATATGTAGTATATGTATGGAACTATAATCTGATTAAATGATTTTACTAAAAATAACTACTTTGGCTGAGATCAAACAAATTTAGGTATTAATACTGATCATGAACCATACTTAGGGCTGGGGAGTTGGCTCAATAATAGAGTGCTTGCCTTGCATGCATGAAGCCCTGGGTTAGAGCCCTAGCAMGCATGTGCACGTGCACRTGCACACACACACACAACCCACTATATTTATAGGCTAATTATAACTATTCCTAAAATCAAAATCAATGTTATTTACCTCCTTGGCATAAGACTGTATCACTCCAGCTGCTTCTATTTTCCTTTTGCATCTCTGTTTAACAGTTATACTATTATTATCCAAATCTTGCATGAGTTTAAAGAAAGCCAATTCATTAAACAACACTTCAGATATCTCCACAAGAAGGTCTTCTCCACAGTCCTTCAGTTTTCTGCCCGCAAATTTTGCCAGTGAATCCTATGCATAGATAAACCAAATGATTTTAAGATCAGAGAAAACTTCACTTGTGGGCACAGCAATATACATTATTAAAAGATTAAATTATAATACTGACTTGGARAAAATCAGTAGTATTACTTTTAAGTACTGAAAAACTTAAAACTAAGGAAAGATAGTTAATATTACTAAGTTACTAGGAATTTTGCTAGTCCTGCTTAAAGATTATACAAGGGAAAGCAAATAATTATGGTCATCCATAATTTTAATCCTTATTAATATAATTCCTGGGCACAAACAAAACAGGGGATTCCTAATCCCAAAAAAGTTTTCAGATAGTACATACTAGGCATATACCTATGCAATACCTTTATACTATAGTAATGAGTCATTAAATACTGTGAGAGAAAAATAGAAAGTCCTCCACATCTAAATGGTATCATTAATTTAGTTTCCCCTTTATATTAACCAACCAGTCATTGTAATTAGAATTTTCTTCAGAATAAGTTTAAATGTAAACTTTAGTTCAAGTTGAATTTTAGCATCATCAAATGAAAGGGACAATATTATTTTATTCTATATTCTAGTTAAAACTACTTCCCTTTTCTTTCTCTAAAAAATATAGAATGCTATTTAGAAATAGACAAGCAAATACAAGCAATGTCCCATTACCCCAAACAAATAGTATCTAGTTCAATCATAGAAAGAAGTACTCAAAAAAAAAAAAAAGTACTCAACAAGGCTGAGTGCTTTGTGAAAAAATTCTTGAACAGATTTCAAAAGGAAAACTAGACAACAATAATTTAAATTCCAGCTCATGAAAAAAATTTTAATATTCTAGGTGGYATTTCACGTAAATTAACTTGTATTTTCACATATGTGGCCCTACAAAAAAAAWCAGGAATGGGATGCAAAAAACACATTCGAATTTTCTTAGATTTAGATAAAAATCTTATTTCCAAATTAATGCTTTGGATTCTGCGTAAAAATAAGGGAGAGCTGTGTGGATCTTGATAAAGAAAATATGTTAATTACAAATAAATTATTTCTCTTTCAGCTAGATTCTAAAAGTTATTTCTTCCTGTAGAAATAACCTGATTAARTTTACTAAAATTCATTTATATACAAGCTATCTTAAACATTTTTAATACTTCAGATATTTCTGCAAGAACATTTCCATAGTTTTTTAGTTTTCTGCCAGTAAATTTTGCCAGAGAATACTATTTAAAGTATTCCTACAATGTCACCACCATTGATGTCTTATATTCCTTATAAATTATGCACTGGCATTATTAAGTAGAGTCTGGACAGTTTGAGTCTATTACTGAATTTATAGTTTAGTTTTAATAATGACATGATGGAAATTTGCATCTAATCCAGGATTTAAAAAATTAACCAAGTGATAATACTATATTTCAAAAGGAAAACTAGACAACAATAATTTAAGTTCTAGCAAAGTGATAATACTATATCCACAACCAGTATAAACACAAAAAACGGAAGGCAAAATTTCATAGGAAAATTATGCAATAAAATGAAATTAAAATGCATTGTCTAATTTGGAGTAACAACATCTTACTGAGCCATCTCAATGGGAAAATGTTAGGTAAAATGTAACAATAAAAGTGTCTGACATAAGGAGAAATAAAGTTTTCTTATTTAACACAGGATTTTTCAACCTGTCCCCCTTTTTTTATGGTGCTGGAGACTGAACGCAGGGTCTTAAGTATGCTGGGCAAGCACTCTACCACTGAGCACACCTTTAGACCTCAAACTGGACATTAATGATATTTAGAGTTATATAATTCTGTTATGAGAGACTGCCCTGTACATTGTAGGACATTTAGCAACATGTTTGACCTTTATCTAGTACTTCYCTTCCCCCTATCTCCCTCTATCATACTTGCTGTATGGTACTCATAAAATGTCTTTAGACATTATCAAATGTCTCCTGGAAGGCAAAACTCTCCCCTAGTTGAGAACCACTGCCTTGATATAAAGTTACTGTACATATGAATATAGAATATGGATTACTAAAAGCTGGGAAAGGTTGGAGGGAAGGGGGATACAGGAGGTCAGCTGATGGGTACCAAAAGGAAGTTCAATAGAAGTACTTGTGTTAGAAGCACAGTGAGATAACTGCAGTTCACAATAACCTATTATATACTTTATGAAGATCTAGAAGACAGGAGTTCAAAGTATCTAAACATAAAGACATGATAAGAAAACAGAAATGCTAATTACTTTGATCTGATTAGTGCTAAAAAGTTTTTACAATTGATAACTGGTTTCCAGCTTCTAAAATTTCYTAAGTTAGTCAAAAACTATCTTAGAAAAAGTCACAGAACATTTTAAACTTAAAATRTTCTTACTGGGTAGAGAAAAAGAAAATCAAACCAATAGATTTTTAAGTTGGATACATGCAATTCCTAATATTTTTTTAAGAAATAAACTAAAAAGTATTTAAAAGGCTGCTAGAATGAATGACTACTTAAATAAATCATGTAATGTTAGAAAATAGAAAAGAACAAAACAAAACAAAAMAAAMCCCCACCAAAACCAAAACACACCTCCCCCCCAAAAAAAACCAAACCAAAACAAACTAACTAGGTGGTAAGACATAGAAGTATAAACTCATACTTGCAATATACTTCCAAGTTGCTTATGAAAGAACTTCACAAACTCCTTGCTCTCATCATTTTGCTGGGTAAGGGTCAATACCATGCGTCTTACTGAAGTGAGAAGCTGAGAAGAGCATATTTCATCCATGTGCTCCTAAGAAAAATCCTAGTTGGTTAGGATATACACTTATCTACTATTTAAAAACGTTTAATCCATACATTATGAAATTTCATTTCTCTTGCACAAATAATTTTCATAYACATTTTTAGAAAGATTCACTCATGAGAGCAAACTCCCATCCTACACACATTGAGTTTTGCAATTTTGACCAACATACCAGTTAAAAGCTAGTAAAATATTATGTGATCTAACACCTTTTATCATTTTCTTTCTGTATTAAAGAGAACTATCCATGCTATAGTTCCCATTTGCATGTCTTTCTGTTTATAGTTCAATTAATTTCAACTACTTTTACAACCCATTCTTATTATCTTCTAATTCAGGGTTTCTCAAACTTCATATGATAGACATCCTGTATATCACAGATGTTTTGAAGCACACTGGCTTCTCTATCCATTAAATGCTAGTTAGTTATACTACTCTCCAAAATACCCACAACCCTGGCCTCATCCTAACAATGAAAACTGTCTCTAGATGTTATGAAATGTCTTGGATCAACAATACCCTCTAACTTTCTTAACAAGCCACTTTAGGTATGTTTCTTTTCTTTTTTATATATTTTAAAAATGTCAATGGACCTTTATTTCTTTATATGCGGTGCTGAGAATCGAACCCAGTGCCTCACACATGCCAGGCAAGCGCTTTACCACTGAGCCACAACCCCAGCCCCAGGCATGTTTCTTTTTAACGGTCCTTTAAAATTATGTGTGAACTACAAAATAATCTGAATTACCATTAATTTTTTAACACACACACACACACACACACACACACACACACACATATATATATATATATACTTAGTTGTGAATGAACCTTTATATTTATTTATTTTTAATGTGGTACTGAGAATAGAACCCAGTGCCTCACATGCTGGGCAAGTGCTCTACCAATGAGCCACAACCCCAGCCCCTACCGTTAACTTTCTGAGATAAGTCTAAAGAACATCTATTATCAAGTAATCTCCATGACAGCAAAGGGCTTGATTTGTTTACTGCTATGTTCACAAAACAAGACACAAAGTAGACATTCTACAAATATTTTTGAATGAATAATAAATACTGTGTAATCATTAAAAACATGTAATAGAAAAATAAAAATAATAATCTTCAAAGATGTTTTAACAAATGAAAAAAGCACTATGCATGTGTACAAAATAGTACAAAAAGGCTCACAAAATGTTGCTGGGGCTATCTCTGGGTGAAAACTAATGGGTCCTTTTTGGCTTTTTTCTTTTGTTTACTTGTATTTTCAGGATTTACTATAATGGAGTCTTTTAAATGAATCAAAAATCAAAATACAGAAAGTTAGTTTATCTTCTAGAAACAATAAGTTTACCTTCAAAAAAGGAATGACTTCTTTCATAATTGCTTTGATCTGTCGATCCAGCTGCTGAGTATCAATTCTAGGACACGGGATGCTAGAAACTTCACTTACAGGTTGTTGTGAACTATGATTTTCAATAATGGGAGTTTCTATTTTTTAAGAAAAATGATACATTAACAAAATGAAGCCTATGTCACTATACATATATATTTAAGCCACATTTTAAAGAATGTTTAAATTATGATAATTTTATGCTAAAAAAAGGAAATATATGCAGTTTTTAACAGTCCAAACAATTAAGAAAAAGCAATAAAAAGAAAATTATTAATATGCCAGGTAGGGCCATTATTTAATTGTTTCAAATATCCTAATCAATCTAAAACACACCTTCTGAATTATTAATTACAGTGGTGGCGGAAGCAGCATCTGTATCCTCAATAACTCTGCAGGTGCATCTCATATTTGAGTTACTTTCGGCCTCAGTCTTCATACGCTCATATTCTCTCATTCTGGCTAATGCCTGATCTAAGTGAATCACTGTGTTACCTGCATTTGGAACAGAAATATTTTTAGTATTCATAAAAGCAAACTTTTCACGTACTTCTAAAAAAATAATGTTTGAACCTAAGTAAAGAAAATTAGCTTTAAACCAGTTCTATATTAATGGGAAACTTTCTTTACATCATCACATTTATTTACCTAATCTTTACAGTAAGTAACCCTATAAAGTAGGCAACAGTGTGTTCATTTTCAGAGAACTTAAGTAACCTGTCAAAAAGATTTCATAGTCGAGCATAAAAGTAGTGATTTAAACTCACGTTGACTATGAAGTCCATTTTGTTCACTATATTATGTTTCATTTAAATAGTAAAAAAGAAAATAAATTCCAAAACATCACAAAAATTCTACAGAAAATGATCCAAACTAACACAAACAAATAAGGTAAGGAAAAAGCCTATCAATGAGAGTTCCTAATTCTCCTATGTCCACTTCAAACAATGCTAGCAGTGAAGGGTTGTTGAAAAAGAAAAAAAAATCAGTAAAAGAAAGAATATAGCCAACACTTTAAAAGTTAGTAATTCAGAAAGGGAAGGATAAGCAAAGAGGGAAAGAGTTCAGGTGGAAAACTGCCTTTGAAATCATATCAATCATCTTCTCCTCATATGAACAACTAGAATAATGGCACATGAGATTATTTTATCAACAAAGTGCCCTGGAGATCTGAATTACTGACGATTTTGATATCCTTTAATAGGCTGCAGCATAGAAAAGTGTTATCAGGTATATTTTCTTTTCTCTGATTTCCTTTCCAAGTTTAGCACTGAAGTTTTGTTTTGTTTTTTAAAGTTATGTAAATTTTTTACTACTCATGGGGGAAAAACACAATGTGCCATGCTTTAGCATTACCTGAAATTTTTATATAGGTTATTTATGCCAAGAAATGTGAGTTCTTACCTCACACTATGAAGTTAATATTTTTAGTGAAAATGTGTTTGAATAGGCCTGAAGTTCTCCCATTAATTTACTAGGCTTCCTTTAAGAAAACTTTACTTTAAGGAGAAGGAAATTAACATTTTGAACACTTATTATTCATGCTAGAAAGTTACATACATTTCCCCCAACAATACAGCAAAGTATACAGGATCACTGCTTCCTTAGTATTTGCAGAATCATAAAGATTAGAAAATCTGCTCAAGGTCAAAGAGTTAAGAATACTGAAATTAGACTTGAGACTTTGAGGTCCATATTCTTTAAAACGCATATTGCCTTTCCAGTTGTTTCTTTCTTTCTTCTTCTTTTTTTTTTTTGAGTTGTAAATGTACACACAGTATCTTTATTCATTTATTTTTAAAAAAATATTTTTATTAGTTATTGATGGACCTTTATTTATTTATTTGTTTGTATGTGGTGCTGAGAATCGAACCCAGGGCATCACACATGCTAGGCAAGTGCTCTACCACTGAGCTCCAGCCCCAGCCCCAATATCTTTATTTTTATGTGGAGCTGAGGATTGAACCCAGTGCCTCACACATGTGAGGCAAGCACTTTACCATTGAGCTACAGCCCTAGCCGATCCAGTTGTTTCCTTATTAATGCAATTCAAAGACTGCATGAGATCAACTTAAAGTCATGTTGAGATGATAAAAAAAAAAATGCACTTACCAAGATCATCTGTTGCAAAAGGTTCAAAATTTGAAGATACAGACATGACACTAACATTATCAGCTTCATTTTGTTCACTTATTTTATGTGTTTCTCTTTCAAAATTCTTCTCAAAAGTTTCCTAAGTTATAATAAAATAAACAAAAATCACTAATATTTCCTTAAAACATTTTATAAATATTAAAGATCTAACAAGGAAACAATATTTGCATAACATTATACATCTTAAAGAGATATTCCATCCAAGCAAAACTGTGACAACCAACATTACTAAAGGATAAATGCAAAGTCACAGAAAATATTAAAATATTAAGGAACCTTACAGAACACTTTTCATGTAGCTAAGAAGTCAGCTGATTAAAAATTCTAAAMTGACAAAATTAACTTTTAATTAAAATTTAAATTATTCCTACATCTTTATGGACATAATCTTATCTCCAAACCCTAACAATATGTAGTACCTTACTTTAACATTGTCTCATTCTACAAGAAACAAAAAAGTATAATTAATATTTTTTAAAAGTAGTATTTTATTTAAATATAATTTACATACAATAATGCACCCACTTTAAGTGTACCGTTTGAGGAATAATGACAAAAGATACACTTCTATAAACAGTTTTCTGAAAATAAAGATCACTTCCACCAGCCCAGAAATTTCCTTTGTACCTCTTTGCAATCAATCCCATTATACCCCAATTATATGATTTCTTTCACTGCAGATGTGCTTTGCTTGTTCTAGAATTTCATACAAATGGAACATACAGTGAATTCTCTTTAGTGTACTTCTTTTGCTCAGTGTGTTTCTGAAATTAATCCCCAATTGTTGTGTGTTCCAGAAGTTCCTCATTTTTTAACTGCTGTATTTTTTATCCACAGTATTCCCTTGTGTGGATATATCAGTTTATCCATTCATCTCCAGTTTGAGGCTATAATAACTAAAAAGATGCTATGAATATTAGTGTATAAATATTTTTGTGGATATGTTTTCACTTCTCTTGAATGAATACCTAGAAGAAAAATTGCTGGTTCATATGTCAAATTTATGTTCATCTTTAAAAGAAACCTCCAAACATCTTTCTAAAGTGGTTATGCAATTTTACATTCCCCACAAGCAATATAAAGAGTTTCAGTTGTTACATGTTCTAACCAACACTTCTTATGGTCAATCTTTTAAATTTTAACTATTTTAGTGGGTGTGAGGTAGTATCTCATATAGTTATAATTTGCATGCTAGTAATTTGAAGCATCTGTTCAAACTTCCTGCCAATTTTTTTACTAAGTTGTCTTATAATGAAGTTGTAGAGTTACTATGTAGGCCAGCCTCTCCTAACACTACCTTTTGAAAAGCACAAAGTTTTATTTTTATAAAACCTAATTTTCATTTTTTTCTTCTATAGTTAGTCCTTTTTGTGTTACTGGACATGCTGGCAATTTACTATAATCCCAGTAACTTGGAAGGCTGAGGCAAGAGGATTTCAAGTTAGAGGCCAGCCTTAGCAACACAGCAAGACCTTGTCTCAAAATAAAAAATAAAATGGGCTGGGCATGAAACTCAGGGGTAAAGTACTCCTAGGTTCAATCCTCAATATTTAAAAAAAAAAAAAAAAGCAAACACACAATGACAAAAAATCCCCCCCAAACCCCAATGCCTACTATTATTGGGGTTTCTCCCCCAATGATATCATTGGGAGGATTCTCCCCCATTTCCTCTTAGGGAGTTTTTWTAGGTTTTAGTTTTTATAGGACTCTGTCATTTTAAATTAATTTTGTATACAGTGTKATAGAGGGGTTATTTATGTCTCATTTATATTCTGACTGAAACATTCAAAAAGTATGTTTTTTCCATGTTCTTAAAAATAACTAGCTATTGATCTTTTATTTTAAGTTACCATCATAGCAGAAAAGTCCCTACAGGAAACTGCTGTAAACACTGAATGATGTGTTGCTGCTGGTAAAATGACTTTGGTAGAAAGATGTTGACATTAATGCTGAATTTAAGTTTTGAAAGAAAAAGTAAATAAACTGTATTCAATTATTTTTTTTAAATTGTAAGCTTTTTGTTTCAAGTTCCTAATTCAAGTAGAACACTGTTTACATTTTACTATAGATTTAAAATCCTGTCAACTTAACTTTATCTTAAATTTAGTCCAATTTTCAAAATTTGCTATTGATGRTGCAGACCAATGTGCTCAGATCTTTCAAAATAAATGAAAATAATGCTGCCTATATGACAATATGAAACTTGGATAATAAGGAGGGGTACCAGAGTTAGGGATACAAAATTACTGAAAAAGATCTTTAAGAATAGACTTTGCATTCTCTTCCRAACTATTTATTACAATGTCCAATAAACTTTAATATAATCTAATCTATTTTTATGCATATAATTCACAAAAAGGAGCGCACATTTTCCGYTAACTATAATAATGATTTACCCAAAGGAGTACTTCTTAATTTATATGTGAAYTGTATAGTCAATGAAAACCATGTAGTTTTAGACACAGGTTTCTGTTAACAATAGCTTAGAAGTTAGATCCTAGTGGAGAAAGATTTTAAGAAGAAAAAAAAATACATAAAGAAGTATTGTTTTCAATAGGAGTTTAAGCTAAAGAGAAACATTAGAAAAAGTCCACAATAGTTCTAAGGAACTTAGTCTATCTGAAGAAGAGATAAAATAATCTTAAGGAAAAAAATCAAGATCTTCTCAAAAAACTATGTGTTAGGGGCTCAGTAGTAGAGCACTTGCCTTGCATGTGTGAGGCATTGGGTTTGATCCTAAGCACCACATAAACATAAATAAACTAAATAAAGGTATTATGTCCATCTAAAACTAAAAAAAAATTTTAAAAAACCTTTGTGTTAATATTTCAACACCATAGTATGATTCCAACTTTCTACCTAGAGCAAACATTTGAGAATCAAATCTTCATATGTTAAGAGTTGTCCTTAAAAAGAAAGAAAGAAAAAAAAAAAGTGTATTTGCTATCCCACGACCATATACATCTTTTATAATAGAATCAAGACACTTTAAATAGGTGATTTCCAAAAATACTTAGTACATTATCTCCTTAGTATGGTAGCAATTTTTGAAGAATTTTTTTATAACTTTAATTAATTAATTTAATGTGGTGCTGAGGATCAAACCCAGTGCCTCACCCATGCTAGGCAAGTGCTCTATCACCGAGCTACAGCCTTAGCCCCTAGGTAGTGATTTTGTTACTTAAGTCATTCCATCAAAATTATGCACACTAAGTACTMTTTTCTATCATGCTCCCCACACTCTTCTACATTTCCAGGGCCTTTTTACTTCATTCAAAAATTTCTCCAAGTTGGGCTGGGGTTGTGATTCAGTGGTAGAGCACTTGCCTAGCACGTTAGGCACTGGGTCTGATTCTCAGCACTGCTTATAGATAAATAAATAAATTAAATGAAGGTAAAAAAATTTTTTTTTAACAAATGTAATACATTAAATTACATTTTCCCTTGATGATTTTCGTTTTTCCAGGCTCTTTTTCACCAAAAGACCTGATTTATCCTGTACTAAGCAAGAGTTTTTACTGTGATTGGTTTATTCAATGTTTGAAGGCACACGAGCTACATTTATTAGATGACTGTTAGGAATCAGCCCCTATGTAATTATCTATCATTTATGCAGAATTTTTTGGTATTTCCCAACATATTTTGATTGTATTTTCTATTTCATCCTCAATATAAAGTAATAGATTACACTCATCTTTTTTTTTAAAGCTAAAAATTAAGCCAGAATCAGTGATACAAGCCCGTAATCCCAGTGACGTGGGAAGCTGAGGAAAGAGGATAGCAAGTACAAAGCCAGCCTCAGCAATTTAGCTAGGCCTTAAACAATTTAACGAAAACCTGTCTCAAAATAAAAAATAAAAAGGGATACGGATATGGTTCAGTGGCTAAGAGTCCCTGGGTTTAATCCCCAGTACAAACCAACCAACCAATAAACAAACAAACAAACAAAATTTAAAAAGCTAAAAATTGAATATATTACACATATTCACAGTTTGACAATAACCTATTTAACTTTTGTTCACTGCATATTGAAATATGTCCATGTTTTTCTAATTATTATCAGCTTACATCATCAGTAGTACCAAGGCTTTCACTGGGAGTAAGCTCTGAGTTTGAAGCTATCCAAGTACCAGAGTTCACTGACTTTACATTTTCCCCTTCTTTTTCATGGTTTTCAGAAATATGTCTCGATACTATATCCTAAATAAAGAAATAAAATATTTATGAAAAAACATAATGCTTAATTCCAAATTTATCTTACAAATGGAAAAACAAATATAGTACTTCTTATCTCACAGGTTAAATGTAAGAAATAACATTAAAGATGAAACATGGCAAAATTACAAAGACTATCTATAATCCACTTATGCTATACAATAATTTTTAAATAAAATGTCAAGAAAAACAAATCAAAATACATGTAGAATTAGGACATGCTTCAGTCTAAAAAASTAACCAGACATTATCATGAAGTAAGGTGATAATAGATAGGGTTGGAAAAAGAATGATACCTGCAATGCATATAAAGCCCTCTGCCTTAAGTAGTCTGTATTAAGTAGTTGAAGCTCATGGAAGAGTTCAATAAGAAAATGTGGGCGAGATTCATTTTGAGATATTAAAGTAGCTACTTCAGAATAAATAGTATCCCGCAAAGCTTCAAACATAGAAAAATCACTCCCAGTTTCTGGAAGATACAAAAAATCAGGAAGTTAAAAAGAAAATCAGGAAAGTTAATACTGATAAAATATCTTCATAACAATTCTTTTCATTTATGTCCTTACTTTAAGCTTTAGATTTCTTAAAAATTAGAATATATTTCTGTTGCAGGACATTTCAAGTAGAAAAATAAGATTAAAATTATCAAAAACAATCTGAAAATATAAAAATCAACACTAGACATTAAAGAAATACTGAAATTCATGGATAACATGAATCATTATATAAAACCACATTTATTTCTCAATAAAAAACATTTGGAAAATTTTATATACTTCATGGGGAAAAAAATCAGTAAAAATTTTTCAGCACTGGAATGAAATAAGTTCAAATAATCTGCCTTGTTTTTTGCTAATATGAACTTCATAACAGAAAAGAAAATCCGTTTATTTTTAATGTTGAGAACTGCTAACAAAAGCTACTATTTTTAGGTCTATATGGTTATTAGGTTTACTAATTTTCAAATTTCATCTACAATTCCGAAAAGTGGTATACTGATAAATTACTAAATTTATAACATAACAGATCAATTTTACTACAGTATTTTATTTACATTCTCAGTATTAATTGAAGCAGGCAGTGACCTAACTGAAGTTTTTGGTTTCCCCGAATTTCRGCATCTCTATTATTAAGCTACAATTCTACTATATGTATTTATTGCCAACATGAAATGATAACTCTCAAATGTACACAGTCATACTCTTAATTTTAACAGTTCTTAACTAGGAACTATTCCCACTGAGTTYTCTCTGGAGGGAAAAAAAAAAAAMAAACAATCTCCAAGTGGTTTTCCTAGCTAGCAAATTCTGTAAACTTTATAGAGCAATAGTAGAACTTCAAGAAGCCAGTCTCAAGTTCTGCAAAAATCAGGAATACCTCAGAGAACCATGCTTTCAAAACGCATGCAAAGARCATAAATTTAATTGATTTCTGAGAGAGAGAGATAAGGAAATGCAAAAGGAATGTGCTCTAATGGAAGAACTTTCTGCTAATTAAGTAATTGAACAACTTCAGGTCTCAATTTCTGAAAGCATAAAATAATAGTAATACAAAAATGCAATTTTCCTATCTTGCCTCAGATAGTCATGAATATAAAATGAAATGAAATGCTGAAGTTTTCTTAGTAGTTTTAAAATGTTCAAATGTGACATATTATTATAAAAGTGACATTTACTATAAGCAGAAACCAAAACTTCCTTTAATAAACCTCTACTTATAGTAAAATTCCAAATATGATTTGATATACTATCCTGTTCTTTAATCATAGTTGTTTGATCTTGAAAATGTTTCTTTCAAAGGTAGAAGAACAAAGGGTTTGATGACATCTTTAATATCAATATGTGATAAAATTGTCACTCTAAATTTAAAAAATTATGTCTACATAATGCATTATCTTTCCTTCCCTTCTACAGTGATGAAAAGTGTATGCCAATTTCTCCTCCTAGATTATTATTAATTAGCTTTTGCTAGGAAAGTCCCTGATCTTGGTGAAGTTTCTCTATCCTATTTTGATTTTATACTATTTTGAGAGTTCTTTTCTTTGGAATTACCACTGATATTTTTTGTCAGTTCTGGGTCCTTTACAGTTTCCTAAAGGTTCAAAAAGTGTTTCATTTTTCACTCTTGTAGCAGGAGTTGAAGAATATTAACAATGCTAAATCACAAAGAACCATATTTAATCAAAATAGTTTACAGAGCAAGATAGTGTTCTTGAATTTTTCTAATTTCCATCTTGTATTTATCACAGTCTATCATGGTTGTTTTTGTTTGATGGCTTCTTATTTTTCAATAGATATTAACTGGTGATAAAAAAAATAAGCATAATATAAAAATATCTGTTTCAAAAATATTAATGCTTTCAAATATTCAAGAAATATAAAATAAGTAACTTTAAAATATTAAAATCTCAAAAATAGTTTCTATTACCCTTATAAATATGTTGGTTAGGTTTCATACACTAACTGTAAAACAAGAAAAGCAGCCAATTTTACCAATCAAGAATTTAAAATAAAAGACTTCAGAATTTTATGAATACGAACTTTTTCATTTTTATAATATAGTCAAATAACTTTATACACTAAGCTAAATTGTAAAAAAAAAATATATCAGAACAACATAACTAAGAATTTTAGGGCCAATGGGAAAAAATTCACAAAAGTGGACACCGAAACTAAGCAGATTGTTACCTGGCGCTTCATTGCATGCATTTCTGTTAGATTGCTGTAGTATTCTCCTAGCATGTGCTGTAGGAAAGGGTAGACATAAGGATGAACATAAAATGTGTATGAGTAGTAAAGACAGGGTCTATAATATGAATAAGTGAATGAAAAAAAAAATTAATCGAAATTTTTTAAAATTTGCCTAAGTGAAATGTTATCACAAGGTATGGTTTATTGTTCTATTTAAAAATAATCTCATTAGGGAAAATCTCAAAAGGTTTACTATAAACTTACATTACTGTGACTGATGATGACTATCCTAATAAACTTTTATCATTCATTTTTATGAAGCATACACATTAAGATGAACCTCCTATATAACTCCTATAAGAGAAAAAAACTGCATAATCCAATACTAGCAGTTATTACACTCTAATAATCACATAATATGGGTAGAATAACAAGTGKTAGTATACAATGTACAAAATATTTTAGAGAATGGTTAAAATGAAAAAAAATCTCTTTGGGGAATGTAAGGGAGTACTAATTTATACTACTCAAAACATTGTTAAATTCACCAAAATTCAAGCATTACGTTTTTTTCAAATGACAATAAGGTCTAAAGTACCACTATGACTATCAATTATTTAAGTAATGCCTTTCAATTTAGTACCCTTCCCAACTTCTACTCACTGTTTACTCTTTAAAGATGTCACTATTTGATAAAGAAAATAAAAGGAGATGAAAATTGTAAAGTTTTGATAAAATTCTGGGTCATGAACAATAGAACTATTATTTTTGCTAATAGGAACCTGAACTTAATGCTTCAAAATTCAGCACTATCATCTCCTAACAATATGAGCTACAGAAAGTCATTTCAAAATACAAGCAAATGTGTGTGTGTTTTTTTTTAAACCTGTGTAATAAGTACTCATTATTAAAAGTCTTAGAACTTACAGAAGATGATTAAACTGTTAACTTTTTTTTTTTTGATACTGGGGAATGAACTCAGGGGCACTTGACCACTGAGCCACATCCCCAGCCCTATTTTGTATTTTATTTAGAGAGAGGGTCTCACTGAGTTGCTTAGTGTCTCACTTTTGCTGAGGCTGGCTTTGAACTCACAATCTTCCAGCCTCAGCTTCTTAAACTGCTGGGATTACAGGCATGCACCACCACCTGGAAAACTATTAACATTTTGATGCATTTTCTTCCAGTCTTTTTAAATTCATGTTTCTGTTTACATATAGAAGGAATCATACACTGTTCAAACAACACTAAATGTTGATTTTTTTTTTTCATTCTGTTTCCTTAAGATAGGTACCAATAAGAACAATTACTGGGTTAAGGATATAACTTTTGAAATCTTCTGCAAAAGTTGTACCAATTTATATTACTAGTTCTTTATAAGTGATAGAAAAGACAGTACCCTGATTCCTCATCAAAAAATGGAAACAAAGCCAACTTAGCATCATAAGTCTCAAATGGTATGTAAAAAATTCTGAAAACAACAAAATAAATCAATTTTGAAAAATTTTAAGAATAAAGCATAATATATATAATTTTACCTAGACCTTATTAACATATTAGTCTATAATTCCTGACTCCCTTTCCATATTTGTTTGAGATGTCTTTATAAATCAGAAAAGTACTAGTACTTATTTAAACTAAGATGGTGGTAAACATATATGACTCCACTGAACCACGTATCTGGTATTATGCTGGAATTTAAGACATAAATTATCCATTGCCAAGGAACTTGGAAAGGTGATAAAGATATTTAAGTAGGTACATATTACATGATACAGGCAACAAAATAGTTTTATATAGGCAACAAAGTAGATTTATACAGGCTCCAATGGAAACAAAAAGGAGAAATGGAAGTTATTCTGGCTTGAATTCAAATATAATTTCAGGGTCCCAAATAAAAATTTTAGGTAGGAGTCTAGCATTAAAAAGGGCTTATAGGGTTAGGGTTGTAGCTCAGCAGTAGAGTGCTCGCCTAACATGTGTGAGGGCCTGGGTTCAATCCTCAGCACCACATAAAAATAAAATAAAGGTATTGTGTCCATCTACTACTAAAAAATAAATATTTTTTTAAAAAGGGCTTATAAAGGGCAAAAAAGGACTTGAGGCAGAAAGTACAACTGGTAAGGTAAGAAACAGTGTTAACAGCCATGAGAAAACTTCAGATCCCTGTCACTAAAAGAATAAAGTTCAAGGTGGTGAGAAATGAGTCTGGAAAGGCAAGATGGAACCAAGTCCCCAATGGACATATATGTTAAATTAAGGCATTCATACTTTATCCAATAAACATGGTAAAGACAAAGTTGTAAGCAGAGGAATAACAGGATTTTGTATTAAGCTTTTTTAAAAAAAATATTTTATTTTTTAGGTGTAGACGGACACAACACAATGCCTTTATTTTTATGTGGTGCTGAGGATTGAACCTGGGTCCCACCCGTGCTAGGCGAGCACTCTACCACTGAGCCACAATCCCAGCCCTGTATTAAGCTTTCAATTATATAAGATTTTGGAATTTCAAATTGGGAGTTCTATGTTAATGTCAACTATTCATGAAATGCTTAGGAATAAATTTATTAAAATGTGTCAAAAAGTATCATTACACAACACAAAAGCATTTCCAGCTTATATTTCTTAATATCAAGAAATGTGTACCATAATCTCTACTACATAACATCTCATGCATGATAAAAATGCGATAGGGTAATTTTAAAACTTGCTCTAATAAGGCTTTTCAAATCCAAGATGAAGAACTCTTTAAATTAAAGCAAATTTAAGAAGAGAACATACCTGAAGATATTTCTGTAGACCTATTATATTTTATTATTTTTTCCAGCTGTTCATGATTCTTTCTGCAGAATACTTTTGCTTGAACAGGCTCTTCAGTCTGAGCTGAATGTCTGTTCCTACTTTTGCAAGGTTCACATGTGCTAGACATACTGGCACTTTCATATCCTTTAGTTTAAAAAAAAAAAAAAAAGTTATAGCTGTTACCAGTTGCAGCAACTCAGAGTGAAAGAGAAATYGATTTCCATAGTGAAATAGTTCAAGTAACTTAATTTATAGTTTCTATGAAGGCCTGGTATCAATTGAACATAATACACTAAATAATATTATCTTGGAGCTATCTTTGCAGAAACCTTTGGAAGCATAGGGTAATAGTATTACACACTTCACTAGCTTTTGACACTTGCATTAAAGACTTTATCCCATTTCAAAATATAGTACAAGGCAGACCTTATACCACCAAATGCTCTACCRGACTCCAAGTTAACAAGTTTTCAGTATTAGGAAAAACAAGAATCATATTCAATCTATATAAATATCCATAATAAAGTGTACTGGGCATTAGTCAAATGTCTGCCTTTCTTATTTATTATATATTTTATGCAAATGACTTGGTTTAAAAAGACTTACCYCCCACAGGTTATACATATATTCTACTACATTTTCCTTCTATGTATTTTTTCCCCTCCCACATTCATTTTGCTATATGGTACAAGGTAAGAATTCAATTTTTTTGTTGTTGTGGTTTTACATAGGTAATTGATTATACCAAMCCTCTCTTCACTGAATTAAAATGTGTATTGGCCAATATATTAAACCCTCATATTTACTAGATTTTATTTATTTATTTATTTTGGTGCTAGGGATTGAACTCAAGGGCACTCTGTCACTGAGTCACATCCCCAGACTCATTTTGCATGAGCCCAAACAGGGCCTCACTGAGTTGCCTACCGCCTCGSCTTTGCTGAGGCTGCCTTACCATGATCTTCACATAAAACACATCAGAAATAAGTGTACTATTGCCACATTATTATATAGAATGACATAATTGAAAGTATTGTTGGTGGTGTCATTTAACAGCATACAATGCTCTGAAGAAAAAACCATTTAAGCACATTATTCTAACAAGAATGTTTTTATAAATGAAAATAAGCTTTTGATTGCTAATACTGAATCACATGAAAAAATGCTAAATAAATTTAAATTACAATGCAGGTTACTTAGCATATATAAAATTATCTCTGGGGGAACCCCAGTATGTACTTTAAAAAAGATATACATACAAGAACCAAGAAAAAAATAAAGAAAGAAAGAAAGAAAAATACATACATATATACAGCCAACCCTCACTCCCAAACAACCAAAAATGTGACATGAAACATACCACAATTAAGATGCTATAAAAACAGAAGAAGAAAAAACTATTGTTTTATATGAGACCCAAATTTAAAACATCAAAGGCTAGATTTCTGAAGTTGAGCTACTAACATGTGATTGAACTGGAGGACAGTTTATAGTAATCCTCCAGGAGCAGCAGAAGAATTTAATGAATGTTAACAGTACAGAATAACACTGGCTAGGTCAGCTAGTGTAACAGCAGCAAGAATAATACATGAGATTCATTACTTTAAGGGTGTGATCTTCTACACCACTTCATTACTCTTTCCTTTATCTCCATTTTTTTCTCAGTATGAGTGGCTCATATAATTAGAAGAAATAGTACTTCTATATGGCCCTCCTTTGAAGGGAAATGGCTTAGCCATGGCCCCTTAAAGACCTTACATGTTTCAAAAGAGGATACCAGATGTAAGGACTAAACCACTGCTGAATCTAATTCATGGCAGAAAATCATGTGACCCTCTTGGAATACAGAGCTTCTATGTGATCATTCCCTACTTGCTGTCTTCTCTCCCTGGGAGGCTATTAGTAGATAGTTTTGCATTGCCACTCAGGTTCTGATGAAACATGAAATCTTTCCACCTCACTCCTGAGGGGACATCTGCAGACTATTAAATGCCTTAACTGCAGTACAGCTCTGATTCTCAGCAATAGGGTGTCCTACCACTGAGGTTACAACTGCCATTTGGCACCTCTTGTTTCAGTTTTCCTCTTTTAAGTGTGAGACAAGGGAGCTGGCATCTCTGACTACTCTTCGTTTCTCAGGCCTTACCTTACCTTTTTTTTTTTTTTTTTTTTTTTGAGATTCGGTCTCACTAAGTTGAACTTGTGATCCTCCTACTTCAGCCTCCTGAGCCACTGAAATTATAGGCGTGCACCACCACAAAAGGCTCCCTTGCCTAATTCTTATTTATTTATCTATTTGTTTATTGGAATGGGGTACTGGGGATTGAACTCAGGGGCACTCAACCACTGAGCCACATCCCCAGCCCTATTTTGTATTTTTATTTAGAGACAGGGTTTCGATGAGCACCTCGCTTTTGCTGAGGCTGGCTTTGAACTCTGGATCCTCCTGCCTCAGACTCCTAAACTGCTGGGATTACAGGCAGGCACTACTGTGCCTGGCTTGCCTAATTCTTTACATCTGTTTAATGTGAGTAATAAGAGAGGGTGGAGGAAAGACATAAAAACATAAATAGAACCCTGAAGTCAGTACATTAACAAGTCTGTTCAATTTTCCAAGAAAAGAAGGAAGAGGCGAAGATATAGATTATGGACCTATTTCCCCTCAAGAATATCAAAACAAGAAACTGGCCTGGTAGAGTGTCACCAAATATCCGATAACTGAAAAACTCAGCAAAGTAGGAAATCACTTTCAGCTCATAAGGTTTAAATCTGAACTGAAGCAGAGAAAATGAATTTTATATAATTTATAAATTCTTGCCTCACAAATAGTTAAAATAATTGCCACCATCTGAATAAGTGAAGATTTAGCATTCCACTCAATGAAAGAATATCAATAAGTGCAAAAAATATATATAAACAGTTAAGTCTAGTAAGTTTGGGACAGTAAACTAGCTGTCTCAATTGTCTCAAGATACCAACTTAAGTACCACTGTGCTGGTCTATTTGTAATATGCTTTTTCCTTTCTGAATTCCTGTTAGCATGCTTCATCCCAATTCTATATTCTACATTCTTATTGTTACTCTGATTTGGAAAGTTTCTAAATCTTCTCTCCTCTGACCCCATTACTACTTTTTTTTAAGATGCAAAAAGCATCCTTTTCTTGTAACTACTGTTGGCCATTTCCTTTCCAAACAGAATAAAAACATCAATCAATGACCTATTTCAGCACTTCTCAAGACTTTGTTTTTTAAAAATAATTTTAGTTGTAGATGGACACAATATCTTTATTTTGTTTATTTAGGTTTTTTTTTTTTTTAATGTGGTACTGAGGATAGAACCCAGTGCCTCACACATGCTAGGCAAGCACTCTACCACTGAACCACAACTCCAGCTCTACTTCTAGACTTTCATGTGTGTATCTTCACACAGAATACATAGAATCTTGGTAAAATGCATAATTTTACAAAATGTATGATTTTKTTAGTATATGAGTGCCCAAAATCTCCATTTTGATTTATGTTCCCAGATGATGCTGATTTGCTTGTCCATATCTCACATTTTGAATAGCAAGTATTTAGCTGACTAATGTGATTCTGCTACATATTAATCTGATTTTGCTACTAGATACTATTTGATTCTGTTATTGAATCTTTTATTTTTGTATGTGAGATTAAAGTAGTACTCTTACTAACAGAGGGTCTTGAATGCCTGTTGAACAAATACAAAAGTTTGTTTTGGCAGGCATTTGTAAACTTAAATATGAAGGAAGAAAGCATAAAGATGACAACGTCAACCCCTGCCTTAAAGTTAAAGATTATGTTATATATATATGGAATTGTAACTTCTCAAAATAAAGCTGTTTACAAAAACTCCAAACACATCAATATTTCTAGGCTTAGGGAGACATGGCCCTAAATTGGCAAGGGTTCTCTAAAACTCTGCTACTCAAGGTATGCTCCACAGATCAATATTGGTAATATCCAAGTCTGTTAGAAAGGCAGACCCCCAGGATCCTTCCAGGCTACATGAACTAGAATTTGCAATTAAAATAGATTCTGAAGGAGTCTTGTGTGAAACATTAAAGCCTAAGAATCAATGCCCAAAATTTAGCAAGGCCCAGAGCATCTTAGTGAGACACTGTCTCAAACAAATAAAAAATAAAAAACRGCTGGGGATGCAGCTCTATGGTAAAGTACCCCTGAGTTTAATCCCTGTTACCAAAAGAAATAAATCATTGCCCCGGCACTCCCGAATCCCCTGGCTGAATGAGAGAAAGCTAGAATAAACCATTTTTATGGGGGCAAGGCATTTGGGGAATAAAGTTATATGACTATTCGAAGGGCCTCTCTCAAAATGCCTTTATCTGGTGGCACCAAAAGTAATCTTGAAGAAAGCACAGTAGTTGTCTGAATGGTTTCAGCACTGATTAATATACAAAATAAATCCACTGCTCTTGAACATTTAATTACTAGAAAATTATTTCAAGAATATGATGTGTACACTAAGAAAAATGCCATCCCTGATCAAATTTGCTTGTTTGACCATTAGATAGATTCTTCAATGAGGGAAGGGGTAGGAGCCAAGGATTTCAAGGATGCATGAATTACTAAGACACCCCCCCCCCAAAAAAAAGTRCAATCATCCTCTTATGTTACATCCATAGGTTTTGCTGGCTTTTTTAAGGGTTCCCATCACCTAAAAATGGTTAAGAAGAATGCTACCAAAGTTAATGAGTATATTTTTTTTTACTACAGGATTTCCCAGGGATTTTAGTATATCTGTATGTTTTAAGAACTTCCAAGAGAGGGAGTCAGCAGTTATACATAATTTTTTTCAAACTTTCCTTATTATAAGCTTAGAATACTTTATTCTGAAGTACCAAATATTATCTCCTTAAACTCAACAACCTCAAAACCATAAACAAAAAGAATCCCTTGCAAATGTGAGGAAGTGTCCCTTAGCTATAATATTCCAGATTTTAGTGAATAAAAACTATTTTTAACCTAGTACTTGACTTCAGAAAATTCTCTAAAAAAATCAAAGAAAACCTATTTTTTTAAAAAAAAAAAAAAAAGGTATAGGTAGTAGCACTATGAAGAAAACTTTAGTGTGATACTCAAAAGCAAGATTCAATAAAATATCAGTTTGGTTCTTTTTTTGTTTGTTTGTTCTTGAAGGACTAACAGTGGCTGTTTTAACAGTGGCTTCATTTGTGTGATATTCAAAAATTACAACGTAATTATAAGYCCTCATTTCTTTAAATGAAACCATCAAAAATCTAACAAGTTACAAAAAGTGGAATGCTGGACCAGATGTAACAAAAGACAGAAAAGAGTAAAAACAAAGACATTTTGGGAATTTTTCAGTAACCTAGAAAATTTGGAGAACACCTTTCTGAGTGAGCTCACAGAAACCATATATGCAGAAAACATACTAATGTTTATGAAGCACAAAAAAACAATGTATGATATGTTATAAAATATTTACATTAAACTCTTGGAGAAAAATAATAAAGGTAACTAAAACTGACTGTTAGGTTACCAACACTAATGCCAATCAACATTCAACAAATTTCAATACTTACCAATATTTTTAACTCTGCTTTTCAACTGAGTAGAATTCCTCTTTTTACTCTTCGATTTGGGTGTTTTGTCTTTAGATGCCAGGCTGGCTTGTGCAGATGCTTTTCTTGTCTTAAATGTTTTAGTTACTGTTGTTGGATCTACTGGGTCAGGCATACTGCTAAAGCTTTCTAATGATTCTTCATCAAACTGGCGTCTTCTCCTGCTTGTATCTAAGTGATTTTTGCGGTTACTATTTGTAGTTTTCTCTACAGACACTGCAAATCCAGTCTTGATAAATGGTTTTCCTATTTCTCCTTCTTGGTCATATGACCATGGCGTCCTAATGTTTTCTACCTCCTCTTCAGGCTGTTTCTGATTCCTTACCAATGAAAACAAGTATTTAGAAATCACACTGTAGATTTATTAACCGAAAACTTCAAAAACTAGTTTACTAAGGAGATTTTGGTGAATAAAATCTTCAACAGGCTATAAAATGTTTTCATTAAATGGGCAAATACTATATATTATGGATTACTTGAAACTTTAATTTTGGACTCTTCTCACTAAACCATTTTTACTGGCAAAAACTCAAAATCAAAGATCTAGCATTTATAATAGAAGGAAAGCAAAATTAAGGCAAGATGGGACACAGAAGGAAAAAAAAAGTTCAGGGAACTAAAAAAGAGCTGTAGCAGAGGGTTGGGGAACATACAYGGATCTCTTTTTATCTAAAGAATTTCTAACATAACAAACTCTGTTCATTAAGTATAGCCTGCATCTGTTGGTCTAGTATCATTTCCCAAATTTTATTTGCTGAATGCTGGCATCCCGTAATATTTAAAAGAAATTCACTATTCATCTAAGTTGGGGGAAAAAGGCAAAACAAATTTAATATAGGTATGTAGAATTTCTTAGAAGTTTTAATATGTCAGTGTGCTTTATAAATGTCTTAAGAGTAATAGTGAGCAATAATTCTACAACTTTTTATCATAGAACTTGCATGGACAACAGCGTTCCAAAGAACAGTTTGGGAGACACTGTCCACAGGGTAATACGTCTAATATGTTTACTAACCTAGCAACTTTACAGGAAAAGTTCTCTGACCTTAGCTCAAAACTAAAAATTTTATCTGACTTGTTATCTCTATAGTTATTCAGGGAACCTAYGATAGTTGAGATTTTAAGAGATAAGTTCTATCTATTTTAGATGGTAAAAATATCTAAAATAAGATATCCAAATCTGCCCTAAAAATATAAATACTTAATGCAAAACTAAAATAATTTTAGAAATTATTATCAACTTTAGAAAACATTGATAATAATGAAGTAGGGAAATGCATTAGAATGAAGTCCCATTCACTGCGATGGAGATTCATGGCAACAGTGCATTAAACACCATATTCATTTTTTTTTAAGTTGTAGTTGGACACAATACCTTTATTTTATTCATTTATTTATTTTTTGTTTGTTATGTGATGCTGAGGATCGAACCTAGTGTCTCGCACGTGCTAGGCGAGCGCCTACCGCTGAGCCACAACCCCAGCCTCCCCGCATATTCAGTTTTGATGAAAAAAAAAAAATTGTTTCATAGAACAACATCAAAGTTAATAGGAAAAAAGAGTCCACAAAGTCCAAGAGATTAATTGTAGGGTTCCTAGAGGTGATTACAAAGTCGGGATTCTAATTTTTTTGGTTAATCAAGTTAAAATAAAATCCCTAAAAGTTCATAACAATTAGTATCAAATGCTAAATTAAAAGGCTGAGACATGTCCAAAAATATAGCTAAAAGTAAATGGAATGTGAATTTGGGGGGAACAGGAATACTAGAAATTGAATTCAGGGGCACTTTACAATTGAGCTACATCCCTAGCCCTTTTCCTAAATTTTTTATTTCAGGACAATCTCACTAAACAGGTAAGGCTGCCCTCCAACTTGTAAACCTCCTGTCYCTGCCTCTAGAATCACTGGGATTACAGGAGTGCATCATACCTTGCCCAGCTACACCACTGCAACTGGCAATGTGAATTTTTTTAAAGGACTTGGACAGCAAATCTTAAGAGATGTTTCTGACAGAATATAAAGTTTTTCCTGAAACTAATAATAAAAACACTGTAAGATTTTCACCAGCTGATTATGAAAATAAATTTGGGGGATCAATATTATTGTTAAAATATTATTTATGTAGCTATAAAAATGCCTAAAGAAAATGACTATCTTGAGCCAATCTAACTAATCTCTCACACTATGTGTGTCAGAAATTGTACATGGGAAAAGTATCACATTAAAAAATAAATATGAGAAAGAGAAAATGAAATCCTAACTAGTGACTGATTCTATTAGTAGTCAATATTATGTCTGAATGATCTTTAGAAACTGATTCTAATCAAAGGCTATGAGTCAAATAAATGGACCATCACTTAACAAATATCTTCCAGTAGTTAACATTACTTTCTAGTCCTAAGTCAATGAACAGTGAACTTTTTTAACATTACAGACAAACAAATCAAGGACAAAACACTATATGGGTCAAGTTATATCCTTCCAAATTAAATCTCACAGAATATCCTGGACCAAAATTCTGAACTACTCTTAGACCAGGGTTACCAGCAGATATAATATGCCTAAGAGATATCTAGTAAGGTATAAAAGTTTCATATTTCCAATACTATCAAGCCAAACCATCAYAAACATCCTCCTTCATTGTGTTTTCAAATTACACATAACTACATAATTACAAAAGTGAMTGCTTCAGCAAATAACAAGTCATGTTCACAATCAAGTACCTCTGCTTTTCTGCTCCAATAGAGGAACTGCTTTCAAAAGGTTTTGGGAAAGCCATATATTCTGTTTTCCCTGAAGAATTCTGGGCTAAAGGCTGCTGCTGTTCAGTGGATGTAGAAATATTCTGAGAAAAATCTCCAAAATTAGAAGGAAATAAAGGGCTGAAATTCATACCTAATAAATAAAAGCAATGGGTAAAAGAACAATAAAGAAATATCTTTAGCTTTAAATGAAATTAAAGACAGCTTTTAATTAAAGTGCTACTCAAACCCACTCAAACAGAAAATTATTCATTTAATAAATTAATGTTTATTTATTCAATCACTATTTATACTCAGCCATTGGCATACAAAGATGATTAATAATCCTTACTCCTTAAAGGACTAAAGTTATAAATATTAGTAAATGATATTTATCAAATTATTACAGGATACCAGACTYAACTATAGGCACTTTACATATTATTTCATTTACTGTCCAAAATAACACTATAAAATTGATACTATACTCATTTTACCATGAGAAAAAAAGGCATAGAGATCAAACGTCTAATAAGAAGAGCTGGTTAGATCTCAGGTATGCAAGAATCTAAAGTTTATATTTTTTTCCACCCTAATCAGGCAAGCAAAATATCATTACATACTTACCACTTACCAAACAGTGCTTCCAGGTCCCTGCATAGGGCTATTTAATAACCTGGAGAGGAGGGCTTCACAAAACTGAACCCGTTTATACAGAACGAACAATTATTGTACATGGTGTTGGCATAGGTATAAAGAGTATTACAGTGAAAAGGAATAGAATGGGTAACTTCTCATTTATCACTTAAAAGTCTACTCAATGTTTGCTGTCAATACAATCTAGAACTAAAAAAGCTTGTTCAATTTTTTAATGCCACCATCTTGAAAATCCTGTTAAGAATATATACTGTGGTACATGAATATTTATGTTCACAAAGCTCTCCCAACTTTCTTCCTCCTCCTACATTCACTTGTAAACAACAACTCTCCTTTATGATTCATTTCATTTAACTGGTCACTTAACTTATTCATTGTATTTCTAAAATGTCTTTTCAATTACTCATTTTTCTTTACCACTACTAGCAATGCCTTAGATCAGGTTGTCATTCTTTCCCTAATATTACTGCTAAAGTCTTTTATTTACAAGCTCCTCCTTCCTTTTCAATCCTCCCACACTATCACCAGTATAATATTTCTAAAATATAAATCTCACATCTGCTCAGAGTCCTTCAATGGCCTCCTCTTCTCTGCAGTRTAGTCGAAGTGTTTTTTGCCAATTACAAAAGGCTTCTGTCCTACCTACTAGTCACACTTAACAACCTCTAAATTTCCTAAGTGATATGTTATTTCATTGCTTTGTTACTTAAGTGGCTCCATTGATTAGAAAGTCCTTTCCTTTCTAATCTCTCTGGTTATAAATTTTATTCAAAAACTAATTTGCCCAAGCATTCGCACAATAGCTACATCACTCATGGCACTGTATTATAAGCATTTGTTAACATTCTTCCTCAATAGATTCTTAATTCCTAAAAGGATTTATCTCAGTCCTTTGACTCCCAATAACTGAATGAAAGCCTAAGAGAAATGCACTTACCAACAAGATATGGTGCTTCTATAGAAGTATACTATGTTAATCATCTTTACTCTCCTAATGCTTTACATAGTGCTTGCTATAGAACAGCCACTAAATAGATTCTCTCTTTTCTAAATAGCTRAAGCAATCATTCATAAGTAATTTACTTAATTTTGTTAGCAACTATATTATTAAGCTTTAGTTTTCATTATAAGAAACAAAGTAGAAAAAAGTTTCTAACTTGCCTTGCAAACATTTCCTACCATTTCAAAATAGAATGTTAAAAATCTAYGCAATATCACAATACCAGACCTTAAACTATACTACAGAGCCATAGTAACAAAAACAGCATGATACTAGCACTAAGAGATATACATATACCAATGGTACAGAGTAGAAGACACAGAGACAAACCCACATAAACACAGTTAYTGCATCCTGGACCATGGCACCAAAAACATTAATTGGAGAAAAGATAGCCTCTTCAGAAAATGGTGCTGGGAAAACTGGAAATCCATATGTAACAAAATGAAATTAAACMCCTATCTCTCACTCTACACAAAACTTAAAGTGGATCAAAGACAGAGGCATTAGAACAGAGACCCTATACCTAACAGAAGAAAAAACAGGCCCAAATTCTGTACCATTTTGGCTTAGAAACTGATTTCCTTAACAAGAGTTCTAAAGTGCAAGAAGTAAAATCAAAAATCAATAAATAGGATAGATTCAAACTAAAAAGCTTCTTCTCAGCAAAGGAAAGAATCATAAAGAGAGAGCCTACAGAATGGGAGAAAATCTTTACCACACACACCTCAGATAGAGCATTAACCTTCAGGGTATATAAAGAACGCAAAAATCTCAATACCAAAACCACAAATAACCTAATCAATAAATGGGCTAAGGAACTGAAGAGACACTTCGCAGAAGAAGAAATACAATCAAACAACAAATATATGAAAAAATGTTCAGCATCTCTAGCAATCAGAGAAAYGCAAATCAAAACTACTCTAAGATTTCATCCCACTCTAGTCAGAATGGCAATTATCAAGAATATAAACAAGGGGTTGAAGTTGTGGATCAGTGGTAGATCACTTGCCTAGCACATGTGAGGCACTGTATTCGATCCTCAGCACCACATTAAAAATAAAATACAGGTATTGTGTTCACATACAACTAAAAATATATTTTTWAAAAAAGAATACAAACAATAATAAGTGTTGGCAAGGATGTAGGGGAAAAGGTACACTCATTCATCACCGGTGGGACTGCAAATTGGTGCACCTACTCTGGAAAGCAGTATGGAGATTCCTCAGAAAACTTGGAATGGAACCACCATTTGACCCAGCTATCTCATTCCTCGGTTTGTACTCAAATGACTTAAAATCAGCATATTACAGACACACAGCCACATCAATGTTTATAGCAGCTCAATCCACAAGCATGCAAGCAACCTAGATGCCCTTCAAGAAAATGGATAAATAAAATGTAGTATATATATACCTTAAAGAAGAATGACTTTATGGCATTTGCAGGTGAATGGATGGAGCTGGAGAATATCATGCTAAGCAAAACAAGCCAATCCCAAGAAACCAAAGGCTGGATATTTTCTCTGATATGTGGATGCTAATTCATAATAAGAGGGGGCTAACAAAAAATAGAGGTACTTTGGATTAGGTAGAGGGGAGTGAAGGGAGGGGAGGAGGTATGGGGCTAGAAAAGACAGTAGAACGAATCAGATAGCATTACCCTATGTATATGACTGGTGTGATTCTACAACAYGTATAACCAGAAGAATGAGAAGTCATACTTCATTTATGTATGATGTATCAAAATACATTCWAYTGTCATGTATAACTAATTAGAACGAATTTTTAAAAATCCATGCAACAAATTATAATATCAAAAAAATTTTTTTCTTTCAGTTTCAGTCACCTACCTGGTGCAAATGATGAAAAATTAGTAAATCCAGGCAGATTAAATAGATTTACAGGTTGTGTTGGAAAGCTGAAAGGACAAAATAAACTGGGAGATGAAGGGTGTGATGCACTACTTCCTCTTTCCTTGCTTCCAGATTTTTCTGGATGCTGATTTTGTTGGCGCATAAGTTCATTCAGCATTTGTTTCAACCTACAAAAATTTAAGAAGTCAGTAATTTTAAAACGAGTTATATTATAATCTATAAAGTATATTCAGGAAGATTATATGTAAGAAATAATTCAACAGCATGCAGGACTGTTCTGGTCCTACAACAAATAAATGCTTGTTTTGCTAGCCTTTGGAACAAGAACTGAAGGCAGTGTCTCCTGTCAGACAGCAGGTACAAGTAAATTTTTTTGTTTATAGCTTCATTACTGGCATAACTTACACACTACAATTCACCCAATGTTAAGTATACAATTCAATAATTCAGAATTTTACAAACAAAAGTCCACAATATCAATATGGAACAATAGATGMATCACTGCTTATCCATTTCTCAGGTGGTTGAGAATGTGTTAATATATATTTGGTTCATACCCTTTCTTCCTAGCAGATAACTATAACACTCTCACTCAATTTTGGCACTCAAAAGTGTCCAAATTTTTAAGTAATCAATTACCTCTGAACATTATTCTGTTGCCATGTTAGCTGTGTGTAGCACTGGTTCAACTGGTGCATTATGAGGTGTACCTGAGGAGATGCAACATTGCTTGGCATAACACTGTAAGGACCTGTGAGAAGAGTTTGCAGCAGACAAGACAGAGTCTATTGAAAAAAAAAATTTGGTAACAGTTACTGATGAGTTGAGGAAAATTTGTATTACTTYGAAAATAATACAAATAAGATACTTATTTTTGTAGTAAATTTTACCTGCTGGTCTTGCATCAAAGTCTGACAAATATTGACACTGAAGTCAAGTTGTTTCTTAAGCTGGTTAATTTGTTCTTGCCATTGTTCTTTCTCTTCTACATAAGAGAGCTCTGATACCCACCGAAGGTTTTCTTGCCGTTGCATGCTGATATTCTGTTGTTGTCTTGTCTTGGCTAATGGGCGATAATTTCCATCTGCCGAAAAAGGGCGATTGTTCTTCCACCTAACATAGAATTTAAAGCCTTAAGTTATCACATATAATAATTCGGTTTTTAAAATACAGCCATAAACCTGATATCCTAGTCTCTAAGCAAGTATTCTTGTGAAGTTCAAAGGACTTATAAAATACAAAAAATAGAGGGGAAAACCTGCAATTTTCTAGTTTTAAACCATTTTTAAAAACTGCTTCCCTGTCCTTTTTCCTTTATGTCTTTACACAGAAGAGCCAGTTTATTTCTGTATTCTTCTGTCAAATGAAAACACTGATTATACTACAATCTTCCATTCCTCATGCTTTAAGTTTAATCACACAACATTCCATTAAGTGGAACTATTCTATCTAACCATCTTTTATTCATGAAAAAAATGTTTTCACTGCTATAAATCAAAATGCAGTTAATATTTAAAAAAAAATTTCTTTGAGATGGAGTCTTGAGCCCAGGTTGGTCCTGAACTGGGCTCAAGTGATCCTCTCTCCTTAGGCTCCTGAATAGTTAAAGATTACAGACAGTGTGCCCCCAGGTCCACAATGCAATTAATATCTTTGTTGACACATCTTTTCACTATCCACCATTTTTCATTTTTGCTTAATTCCCCCAAACAGTAGCAAAAATGAAAACTTATGTATGAATCTTGACACAGTCTAGCTGGGACCAGCAAAACCTGTGATATATTAATAAAAGCAGTCTTTGTCCCTGGTTTTTAGCATAACACTCTAAAAACCCTTGACATTTCCTGAGTGGTAGAATGTCTTTTGTTATTCATAATAAGCCCACTGCAACCATACCTGAGTTTATACTAATGAAGTAACTATTGGAAGGCCCTATATATCTTCATGATGGAGAAGGGAGTGGTCACTAGAAAAACCAACACTGAAAATTATAACCATTTAGAGGGTTATAATTTTCAGACTCATCCCCTGACCTCCAGAGGAGACAAAGAAGTCAGAGCTTGCGTTTAATCAACAATGGTTTGATTGATCATACCTATGCAATGAAATGCCCATAAAACCCCTGAACAATGTAGTTCAGAAAGCTTCTAGGTTGGTGAGCACATCAAGGTGTAGGAAAGTGGTATAGCAAGAGGACACAGAAGATCTGYACACCTCCTCACCCCACACACCGCTTTATGCATTTCTTTCACTTGATGGTACTTGAATCGTACTTACAATTGGTAAATATAAGTAAGTGTTTTCCTGCGTTCTGTGAGTTGTTCTTACAAATTATCTACTGAAAGAAGGGTTGTGGGAACTCTCAAATTTGTAGCCACATTGGACAGAAGTACAATTATCCTAGGGACCAAGCATTTACATCTGAAATGAGGATACTCTTATGGAAATGAGCTCCTTTACTTATGGAGTCTATACTAACTCTTGTATAGAGTGCTATAAATGTGCTATAAATGAATTTTAAGATACTGAGCTAGTTTGGAGAATTGTAGAATTCCGTTGTGTCAAAAGACCCGAGATATTTAAAATCAAGCAAAAAACTAAAACAAACAAACAAACCTATTTTTAGATTCCTTTGCATTATAGGAATTGTGATTCACACTATTAGGAGGATACATAGAAAAATTATCATTAGAACTGGCATCTTGCTCTTCTTCCTCTTCTTCATCTGTCCGAACAATTCCTTCAGAAAGGTAACCATCTTCATCTCCTTCTTCATCTAAGGCACACTGAGTAGARCCTCCCCAAGTTGCCATTGTTCTAGTGATTAAGAGACATAAAACAGTTACCATTCTGAAAGTAAGCTAAATACTTTATGCACCAGACTTAATATCAAGCATACATATATATTAACACACACACATTTAATCGTAACTCTATAAGATAAATGGTACTCTCCTAATTACTGCTATACAGATTAGTTTGCTTTCCATCAAACAATTCTTTAATTGAATTGAAATAGTAATTAATTACATCCCCAGGAACTTTTTTTTTGCAGTACTGGGGATTAAACCCCGAGGCACTCTACCACTGAGCTATAATCCTAACCCTTTTTATTTTTTGAGAAAAGATCATGCTAAATTGCTAAAACCAGCCCTAGCACTTGYAATTCTCCTGCTTCAGCCTCCAGAGTATATGGGATTGCTGGCATGCACCACTGCACCTGGCCCTTAGGACTTTTTTCCTTAACTAAACCTCCCTCAACTTTTCCTTGACTGACAATTCTCTACTTCAGTGCTATTCAAAAGAATTTTCTGTGTGCTGGGGATACAGCTCAGTTGGTAGAATGCTTGCCTCCCATGCAGAAGGCCCTGGGTTTAATCCCAGAACCACAAAAACAAATAAACAAACAAACAATCAAAACAACTTTTTGCAATAGTGATAATGATTGATATCTGTGCTGCAATACACAGTGGATGCTAGGTACAYATAGCTACTGGGCACTTAAAATGTGGTTGATAGGAAACAAAAATTTTCACTTCATTTTAATTTAAAGAGCCACCAATATCTATGGGCTGCTGTTTTAGGATGTACAACTTTAGTCCAGGAATGTAGCACAGTAGTAAAGCTTGTGCTCTGCAGGCATAGGGCCTTGGATTTAACACCCAGCACCACCACAACAACAACAAAAAAACAACATACAACTCTAGACCAATGGTTCTGCTCATAAAAACTATCTGAAGAAAGCTGTAAAAGAACAAATGTGTAATAACCAGAAAAGAATACTGATAAAATAGTTTGATCAATAAAACTCCCAAAATAGGATAAGTTCTAAGAGGAAGACAGTACAATGTGGTAGAAATGTTTTCTAAGGATAGGAAAATGTAAAGCTGCAAAAAATCTGGATTTCTAAAATTAAGATATAAATATTACTATATAGCAACTTATAGATAACCAACTCTTTGTGAAATATTCTAAATATGGAAATGTTGAACTTAAATCCTAAAATCTAAAATGTTTTGTATAATAAAATGTTTTAAAATCCTCAAGATTCTTACAAATAGCAGATGTTCAATTTAAGTAAAAAACTGATTTTTTCCCCTGGTCTATTAGAAAAACAAGACATCAAGCATTTTCTTTTTATAGGCTTAAAACTTTAAGAAAATAAGACTTATAGACATTAGAAAATCTGTTATCACCATTTATCACATGCCATAATAATTTGAGAAAGCTGATTTTAAAAGAGCAAATGGCTGGATTCAGTCAAATTGAGTCACAAAGGTGATACCTAAAACACTAGCCTCAATGAAACAGCAGATTTATGCTGTCGTATCAAGAGGRAAAAACAAACTGCTTTGCCTAAAGTTTGACATTATTTAAAAAGTGATTTAAACTACTCTCTTACTTTTCTGTTCTACTTTGTTGAGGAGTACACAGGTTCTCAGATCCATCACTTCTCAATGACATGGCCACTGGAGATGTAGTTTCAGCTAGACCTTGCCTCCTCTGATGTTCAGCCATTAGAGCTTCAAGCTGCTTTCTTCTCTGTCGAAGCTCTTCCCTTAATATTTCATGTCTTCGCATGTCTGACCACAACTATTATTTTAAAAATCAGAGTTAAGTAAATATTTGGATTTGCTGTAGCCTTAAAGAATATTGTTGGTACTACAGAACTTTCTATTTTCACTCTATCCTTTTGATGATAAGATTTCTTTGAAGGTTAAAATAATATTTTAGTGATGATTAAGAAAATACTAGGTAATCTTTAATTGTTAATGAAAATAAGCAGCACTCAAACTTCAGGAATTATTTGAGAAAAGACACAATATTACCTACAAATTGTGTGTGTGTGTGTGTGTGTGTGTGTGTGTGTATATATATATATATATATATATATATATATTGCTAAGTGATAAGTCTAATTGAAACAATTAGTGTCTGCTGTAACTACACTCTTATGTGTAATTCTGCTAAGTATTTGCTAATAAAGAGCATGATTATTTTGAAACAATGCCAGCATAATTATTTTTTGTAAAAAACTGTTTTACTCCAGGGCTGGGGTTGTAGCTCAGTGGTAGAGGGCTTGCCTAGCATGTGTGAGGCACTGGGTTCAATTCTCAACACTGCATATAATAAAATAAAGAGGGGCTGGGGTTGTGGCTCAGCAGTAGAATGCTCACCTAGCACATGCAATGCCCTAGGTTCGATCCTCAGTACCACATAAAAATAAATGAAATAAAGGTACTGTATTCAACTACAACTAAAAATAAATAAATAATAAATAGATAAAAGTCCATTGATTAAAAAAATAAATAAATAATAAAAGAGGTTTATTCCAAGTAGAAGACACAAAACACAAAACATGTTTCAAGTAGAATACTGCCAGCATGTGTAAAGCCTTACATTCAATCCAACAACTGCAAAAACAAAACACCCTATGTTTCACAGATACTGTTCTCCATCTTATGATGTGTCTTAAGACCAACTCAGGAAATAAGTTTACCATACCTCATTATCTACTACTGAAGAATCTTCAGGTTCAAAAACAGATTTGCTTGTATTGGTCTCATTTTCATTAGTAGTTGGGGTTGAAGTAACAGCTGGTATGTATTTTTTTGTGGGACAATTACCCACAGTAGTGGCTGACAGCTAAAAAAGAATTGGCAAAACTATTATGAGGTATTAAAGTAATAATATTATTTTCATAAAAGTAGTTAGTATACTTCTTCTCTAGATCTTTAGTGACATATTTAATCTGTTATTACTAGACCCCAAATGCCATCATCATCTGAAAATAACATATGAAAACATAGGTTAAAGTTGAAAAGTAATACTCAGGAACAACAAAAGCAATAGAAATCAAAATTCTGTATTCTTAACCTAACACTGTCACATATTCCTCTGGATATTATTTAGATTGGGGATAAAGGACAAAAGGATTAGATAATGTASAAAAGGTAAGAGTTTTGAAAATAAACGATTTTATCAGAAACATATATCCTTTGGTATGTTTCCCTTTCTTCAAAAACAAAATATAGGGGCTGGGATGGTGGCTCTAAGGTAGAGCACTTGCCTAGCATGTGTGGAGGAACTTGGTTCGATCCTAAGCACCACATAAAAAATAAAATAAAGGTATTGTGTCAACCTACAACTAAAAAATAAATGTTTTTTTTTTTTTAAAATATATATATAGCTAAAAATAAAGCTAACCAATAAATTTTATGAAAATCTCAGAAAAGAATTATTATACCATTCCCATATCAATCCTATACCTGATTATCTGACATGACCAAATATAGCTTATTTTCTGTTCAAACTGAAAGAGCCATATTCAGTACTATTTAATAAACAAAAGCATATATATTTTATTTTTACAGAAAACTTATAATAAGGACAGATGCAGTGGCACATGCCTATAAAATCTCAGCAGCTAAAGAGGCTGAGGCAGGAGAATTACAAGTTCAAACCTAGCCTCTCAGCAACTTAACAAGGCCCTAAGCAACTTAGCAAGACCCTATTTCAAAATAAAATATAAAAAAGGACTGAAGATGTAGGTCAGTGGTTAAGTGCTCCTAAGTTCAATCCCTGGTACTGGAAAAGAAAACTTATGATGATTTAAAACCTTTATTATGTAATCCTAGGCCAATAAAATATGAAAATACTGGTTTATAACTACAAAGTTCAAACCAGAATATTTTAATATAATAAACACTTAGAAGTAGTTATGTTCTGAATCAATGGCTTATTAGCCCAGTAAAAATGATTAATTCCCATGATTTCATAGTATATCCCAGCCCATTATTTCATCAATTTCATTAATTCTCAAATTAGTAGATATAAATCTGACACATCAGTACTAAAAAAAGGCAAAGAATATTATCAACTGACATTAGGTTTTTTTGGTTGTTGTTTTGTTCGGTTTTATTTTTCCAATACTGGGGATTGAGCCCAGGGCCTAGCGCTTGGTAGGCAAGCATTCCACCACTGAGCTACATTCCATCCCTAAACTTTAGGTTTTGAACACCCCTTTGCCTAAGTAAACTGAAAGAAATAATTCTTAATTACCTGCAGGTCAGGACATGCCTTTTGCAAAGCTTGAATTTTCTCTTGAATCTCAATCAGTTTCTTTCTTTCTTCCTGCAATTGTTTTAGCTCTCGCTGTTGTTGCTGTAGTTTAGCCTCATAAAATTTCTCTCTATAATTAAATTGACAATTAATTTGTAGACTCCCAATAAAAGTTGATGACAACATTAAGCAAAATAAAACAAAATACCTAGCCAAGAACTTTCTCTGTAACAAGCACTATATTTTTACTAAGTAAAAGCCAAAAGTTTTGCATACCTTGCCTTTTCATTTCCACCAGTATCTTTCTGTGTTTTGTTAGCATTTCCTCTAGTATTATTTGAATTTTGTTTGGTGTCTTCTTCTGCTGGGTAGAAGTCATCCAAATTTGATGTATTGGCAGAAGTAACCCCTTGAGCTKCATCATCATCCTTTTAAATAGCACAATTATATTAAAACATATCTTAGATATATCTTGATATCTAGAGACATTATCAGATTCACACCTTACCAAATGCACTAGATCATAAAATTTTACATAACACAAATTAATGCAATAGAGAAAACACAATAATTTTTATAGAAAACTGAAGTTCATTCTCAACCAATGGTGAGGAATGAATTCTAAGACTAAAACGAACACATTCAAAATATGTGTTACCAACTACTCAGTTGCTACAGTTTAAGTGTCTCCCCCAAGGGTTCAAGTACTGAAATTTAATCCCCACTATGAAGTAWGTGAGAGTGAATACTAATCTCACTTTAGTGTTGAGAAGTGATTAGAATTAGATAGAGTTGCCAGGTAAAATCCCAATAACTAAATATTGGTGGGTTTATAGGAAAGGTGGAAAGACCAAAAGACACACATATGTGTTCCCTGTCACTTGCTATGTAACCCTCTGAATTGCCTACAGACTGTCAGATATGGGCTCTTAAACCTTCAGAACTATGAGCGAAATAAATCTATTTTTTTTCTATAAAGTTACCCAGCCTCAGGTATATCTATATAGTAACACAAGAGTAAGACAACCTAGTAATAACCAAAATTCTATTTTTTTTTTTGTACCAGGGATTTAACCCAGGGGCACTTAAGCACTGAGCCACATTCCCAGGCCTTTTTAAATATCTTTTAAATTTAGAGACAAGGTTTCATTGAGTTGCTTAGGACCTCACTAAGTTGCTGAGGCTGGCTTTGAACTTGCAATCCTCCGGCCTCAGCCTCTTGAGCTGCTGAGATTACAGGTGTGCGCCAACAAATTGTCTTTTCTCATCTTGACCAACAAAAGGTACAATTCTATTATTACTAGGAAGATATGAACTTTTTGTTTTTTTCCAGTAATTATGATGTTTGAGATAGGATATTCTCACTATATTTGTATTTACTGAAGAGGAAAGAGAGGAAATGGGATAATTTTTAAAGAGGGTCAGTGACAATGGATTTTGATTGTTTGAAATTGTTACTATAAAAATTTATCTATTATCAAGAGTTCCCAACTCCACTGATAATTTTTTTCTCCTCTTCATGTTCTGCAGAAAGCTAATCTTTGATACCTCAGCAACTTTGCATCAATCTAAACACTAACATAACCTATTAGTGATATTGATAGGAAGATGGAAAGAAACTGTATTGTAACTTCAGAAAAGGAGAAGCTGGATCACAAAGTATTTTTACAGAATAAAAAGTAGACAAACTAAAGCATGAGAAATAATGCAAAACAGAGCTTCCTGAAATTTCAGATGGTAGTATGAGGGTGCCTAAACAACTGAAATGATATGAACTACAGCATTAAAATAAAGCTGAAAAAGTAACACACATTTTAATATACAATGCATCATAGACTGAAAAACAAAAGATAACAATCTCTGGAGGCTTATTGATACATTAGGCTTCATTAAGGMCTTACTCTAAGTTGTCCAGGATTTTAAATCAGAAAGACTAACAGTTTATATAAACATAATAACTACRTATGTTTAAACCTTCTCCTGTGTCCCTGAGAACCAGGATATAAATACAGGTATAAGAAAAGAGTACTAGTCAGGCCCAGCAACCAGCCAAGTGACTGCAGCTACACGCGCCGGCGGGGAACG